TGTTTTTGGTTTGGTCATAACAGTCTTTTGAACTACCATTGAACTTGCTTTCAACTTAGTGTGGACTGATCTATTTCACAATGTGATTAACCTTAATACTCTATTGGTATCGTTTATGCGGGGTTGAATGACCAAGACTGCGCCGTCAACCACCGTCTGGTTGCAACAAGAATAGAACGAAGTTATTGATAAGCCACCCCTCTTACATCCTGTGGTGGTCACCCAGAGCTCATCATAGCATGCTGTGGTGATGCCAATTTACATCAGTCGGCACCAAAGCATGGTATAAATGCCGTTGACATACTCACAATGTTACAATTCCTTGATTCTTCCCGCATTGTGATCACTCCGATGCAGCTGAATTCACAGTCATTAATATGACAATCTCTCGGGTAATTCAAACTGAGCTATGTAATCAATTTTTCCTCCATGCGTTCCGCACTTCCAAGGAAGGAGTTTTGAGCATCATGGAGGTGCTTTGGTGTCTCCTCTCAGATCGGCAGCTAGCACGGCCAAGTCTTTCCTTGCTAAGATTGTCCAAAACGGCAACTTGACCTCTTCATGCAACTCAGAAGCGCCAACATAGCTTGCTTCTAAGTTTTGATGTTTAGATTACTGCCTCGGTATGCTACCCTACTCATAATCGCGTTGCGATAGTTCCAATGTTACAGACTTGTTTCTCACATGTTCGTCTCATTAAGGGTGGTAACTTCAGCTACAACACGGTGTTTTCCGTCTCTAAGAATCATACAAAACTGTATTACTCAAAACCCTAAGCTACATATAGAACAGCATCCATCTCTTGCAAGTCCATCATCGTCTCATATATCCAAGTGAAAATTCACAGAATCGCCATTCCACGCCTTTACTTTCTCGATTCCCCAAAATGAGTCCAGATAAGCAAGGGTCGCCCATTCCTACCGTTAGCAATGACAAGCACATGGGGATGATGGAGTCCCAACACTCCTCGCCAGACATCTCATCACACGAGTCTACGCTGGATGGAAACAACATGCACACGATCTCCAGTGAAGGTAGCGGTGCTTATGCAGAACATGGTCCTGGAATCGATCATAAGATCCCACAAGAACTCGAGATACAGTCCAAGCCAGATCTCTTATGGAGTCGTGTTCGACATACTATGCGAGAACCGTTCTCGGAATTCTTTGGTGTATTTATTTTGTGAGAATCCACTCAAGTCTTAAGCCTCTGCGATACATGCAACCCCTTTTTTGCTCGTTCAATAGTCACTGACATTCAAATAGGATCTTGTTTGGAGATGGTGTGGTTGCGCAAGTAATCCTTAGCTCGGGCGAGAAAGGCTCCTATCAATCAATATCTTGGGGATGGGGGTATGTATTTGCCCTACTCTCAACGGTATATTGACTAAAAGCTTTGATAGCATTGGAGTTATGCTTGGAGTCTATGCTTCAGGCGTTAGTGGTGCCCACATCAACCCAGCTGTGACATTCGCAAACTGCGTCTTTCGAAGATTTCCCTGGCGTAAATTCCCCATCTATATGTTGGCGCAAGTGTTGGGAGCAATGTGCGCCGCCGGCGTGGTCTACGGTATGCCGTCTCCAATATTTTATAAAGCCAAGATCTAATATGCTGATCCTTATAGCAAACTATAAATCTGCCATTGATATGTTCGAAGGAGGGAATAACATTCGAACTGTGGGCCTCAACACATCATCTGCAGGCATATTCTGTACCTACCCCGCCCCTTTTATGACAAAAACAGGACAATTCTTTTCGGAGTTCATCGCAAGTACAATACTTATGTTTTGTATCTACGCTTTACAAGACAATGGTAATTTAGGTTCTGGAAATCTTACCCCACTTGGACTCTTCTTCGTGATCTTCGGTATTGGAGCTTGCTTTGGATGTAAGTTGTATTTTTTGAACTCACTTATCGCACTATAGATAGCCAAGATACTAATATGTGACTCCTCATTAGGGGAAACAGGATATGCAATTAATATGGCTAGAGATTTTGGTCCAAGATTGATGAGCTACTTCCTTGGGTATGGTCACAAAGTATGGAGCGCGGGAAACTATTACTTTTGGGTACCTATGGTAGCGCCATTTTTCGGATGCTTGTTTGGAGGTTGGTTGTATGGTATGTGCCTACTATCCTTCATACTCATGCTTTTAGGGAATATTTTCTGATATACAGATATAGATGTCTTTATCTTCACTGGCGAGAGCCCCATCAATACTCCTTGGATGGGATTGAAGCGGCTTATGCCTGGGGGTCTCGGGAGTAAGAAAGTAGACTCCACAGTATAAAGCCGGTGAGAGAAAAGAGAAGCTTGGTACCGATGCTAATCCTCTCTGTACGTTAAAGAGAAGGGCATTGTTGCGTCAGATGACTGAACTGCACACATTTAGCTAGAAACTCAAGTACTGAACCGGTGGCAACGGTAAACTTTACAAGGAAGGAAACAAAGGAGCTGACCGGCTATTTCTGCCTTCTTATGGGCTAAAACTTGTAATCATACACTAAGATGTCGGGAAAATGAACAGGAACTTCTCGGCAACTCTCAATAAATCCTAAAATTTAACTCCTTTAATCAAACAATTTACAAGCACTATATCTCCTGGATCTGTATTTAGTTAGATGTGGTGGAGTTTCACGCGATCATATCATTAGCCGTCAAATTGTTTCATGATATGTCAATTTGTTGCAACAAGACTGATTCTGATGTTTTCTTGGCCCCCCTTTAGCTTCCCGCTAAGCACCCAGCCCCACTGTGATTTTGTTCATCTCATCCACATTGATATTTTCATCAGAAATTTATTCACTAGACCACAAAGTTATTATTTACATAATACACTCAAACAGCCACTACAATTCGCAGTCCACGTTACCCGTCACCCAACAGGCTACACGAGAGTTCAAGTCACATGATGAATAGTTCATAAGAACTGTCATTAAGTGACGATTGCAGATCTGTCAATGATAATGTGAAATGAAGTCAACAACAGCAAAGCTAGAACTAGTTACAACGATTTATAGTGCCTCTGGCTATGTGGAGATAGTGCTGTAGGGGAATTTAGCGCAAAATGACAGATGAGATGACCATGAAGATTTAGTTGGTTCCGGCCTCCAGATATGATAGTTCTCACGCTTGTCGTAATGCAACACCCCGCCCTACTCCTATATCAGATGTTCTTCTCTCTCCGGCCCGGTAATAATTCTGCGTTATTGTAAATAGGTCCATTATTGCCGATAGCAATTTTTTCGCTGGAAGAATGCCATTAGTAACTTTTGGCATTTTCTCGCTTAAATAGAGTGTATTTTTTAGGACAAATAGTAACAAAATTTGATTCTCTTGTAGCGTGATTGGTTGAAAGATGATCTCATCATGCATTCTGCTTGCGAGCTTAATCCAAGTGCTTTATTTGGGGAATGTATCTAACCTTTTAAGTACTTATTGGTCCAGAGTGAAGCTCATTTCCATATCTTTACACAGCTCCCTTCAGCCGATGCATGCAGATTCAGACTATTGATAATCATTATTCATATTTGCATAATCGTATTTTAAAATTGTAGATCGCTTCTATCAATATTAAATGTTGCGTTTCTGAAGCAGGAGAAAAGTAGTGCGCAGATCTCAATCATTGATAACGCCCATGGTATGGGACAATCCACTTCTAACCGAAGTTCTGCTCATTGACATGAGACGCATTAAAGATGAGATAATTATAGCGGGCAGGCACAGAAACAATCAGATTGTGGAGGATTTTACACCGATCAGAGATTAGTATGGTGTGAAGCTTGAACAATGTTTGGATCATTAAATGGATTGTCGGATAGTCGTCTCGAATGTGATTACACTGGATTTCTTCGAAGATAATATTCAAGGCCTCTATAAGAGATATTCTTGCAGCAAGAAAGAAGAAGTTTGAATACGAAACATGAGAGGCTATGGTCAAGTCAATATTGGACCCTGCAATGCGAAAGAACCTTACGAGTTGGGAAGGAAACTCCCAGTGACTTGGCCTGATTTCGTGGAAGGCACCAGCCAGATTCTATCAAGTTGCTGTTGTGCTGAACACTGCATTATTCTACAGTTTGAATGTAGAATTGAAAATGCTAAAGCCTTCTTTGGCTTCTGATCTTGCAATAAGTGGAGGTTAAAATGCAGAGCCCCCACCAAACAAGCCCGGGGCTGCAGTGTATTGTATTACACATAAAGTTTCAGTAAGTCATTGCATGGTTAATATGTAGAGGTGAAGTCTGCATCGCTACCCCTACAGTGTCGACGGGGTGGGGTGGCGGCCCTTGGTCAATAGCCACCTAGAAAGACTCATGATCACAGCTTTAAGGAAAATGAGTGACATGCTTTTTCAGCCAGATTCACTGGCTGAGCAGTACAGATGAAATGTGTAACCAAAAGATATGAATACACAATTTGCCTCTTGATACTTTTTACTTCCAAAGGCGGTAAAAAATAATGCAATTTTCTTCTTGTCCGAAACTTAACCTCACCTATTCTGGGCTTCTTCAACTATAGATGAATAAACTTCTGATCTTATCGTCGTGCTTTCCCAGTACCATGGCGATAGGTAGAAGCTTAAATGATCAGTTCCCTTACAATGGAGCTTGTAATTTTTCCGGCTTTTTGATTCTAGGATGCTCACTCATGAGCAACGACCATGCCGTGAATATCTAGATTCAAAAGTAATAGGCTGCCACCAGAAGACTGAGATCGTACATACCCCAAGATATCGAGAGGCCCAGACAAGCAGCTTCCTAGTTCATGGGTTGAAATGCAATGACAGCAGCGAGGGAAGTGCGATGCCATGAGACTACATGTAACTACTTCAGCATCTTCGAAAGCTGACTGTTTCTTTTAGCCATACACTCACAAATATTGCATCACATATTTTTCGATCCAGCTATACTTAAGAAATATTTTTAAAACTATAGTAATTCGTACCTGTCAAAGTTTTTGATATTGTGTCAGCACTCAACCCGAAATTCAACAAGTATGGCAAGCAGCCTAAGGACCCCTGTCAACCACATCTCACCTCCAAAGCGACGCAAGCGAACCGAATTAAAGGCTGATCTCGAGTGTATTTTCTCATACTTCAACCTTACAGAGAAGTCGAAGTATTATCGCAGATTTAGTTTTGGGAGTTTGTCATCCTTCCCTCTTCCACATTTTTGAGTCGAAAGTTGACGATTCATCAGCGGGGCACCATTATACTCATTACTACGACGGCGGCGAGATGTACGTTGATAGCGATGGAATTGGTATCTATGTGGACATAACGGGGCATCGTTCCCTCTACATTCGCCCCAAAAAGGAGCAGGAAGCAATGAGGCGGAGGATTGAACAGGAAATAAGGCATGCCTCTGATCTCGAATGGTTGAAGTACAAAGCTCGAGGATTTTTCGCCGAACGGGCGGTAAGAGAACTCGGAATACTCGAGCTCAGAAGGTAGGTCGCTCGTATTTCGATGAATTGAAAGTGAAAAAAGAGGCCTGAGGGTGTGCCAAACTTCTTTTATCACTCAAAGACCTCTCATTACTGCACAGAATACGCCCCCGAATTCTTCTGTACCTCATATTAAATCTAACCAGACGAGCTCCAGGATACAAAGATAAAGTCAATATAGTTATAAGCGAGTGGAAATGAATATTGGAGGAACTAGAGGGCAATGATCTGTATCCAACCTGAGGAGAGTCAAATAGATTGATTTTTGGGTTCAGCGAAGTATTGTTTTGGTATTCTACCTGAGCGGCAGCTTCTAATATTATCACTAATAAGAAATCTTACTGATCACAACCATGACCTTTTGACTCGTTCGCTCAAGATTGCTAATGTGTTATGTGTATGCTGATGTTGAGTTCATTTATTCCATTACTGATTTATAGGCATTCTTGATTGGAGAATAGATGAAAACTCAGTAACTAGATACAGAGCACCTGCAGTTAACTTTAGGACTATAAAAAATATCGAAAAGACCAAAAAAGAAAAAGAATGAGATGCATCATGTAGCCATTTCATGTATAGCTAGGTATTTGATTAAACTGTGCCCACAACCTTATCTTTCTAGCAAAGGAAAATTCACTAGTTCGCTTGTCACTCGCATAGCTTCCGTCTGGTTATAATTCTTAGGGTACTCATCCTATCACGTCTTCAAACCCAGTGCCACGGTTCCACTATATCTTGCCGTACTTCCTGCTGCACCCATACTTCTATTGCATTCCGAGATGTCAGACTTCCAAAGATATATAGTTTTACTGGCCATGCTTGTTGGTCGGAGTTTTCAATGCTGTATTGGCCTGATTTATTCAACTCTGCTATAACTGGTAAAGTCATTGATTCTGGTCGTCCTAGTTTTGTATCCTCGCGCGCTGTTCTGTTGCTAGTAAAATTCATGCGTCGGCCCAGTGATGATTTCTGGAAGTTTAACAATTTACCTCCAAGCTGCATTATGAGTGGAGATCCGGTCGATATCGCAATACCCATTCCTGTCTCAATGAAACTCCACAGTTGTGGGCGAGGGCCTATGTATGTAAAATCTTGGGGTTATAGTATAGGTCTATGAGTGCCCAAAGACGCAGCATAGAACTGATAGTGACACTTTAAGACGGTGTTAGAAAAACACCATAAACTCAAATATGGGATACCTTACATGCTTCCCACCGAAAACACCAGACAAACTTTAAATTTATTTCCAGTTGTCATTTGCATTCCCATGACGTAGTAAATTGGCAAAAGAGTTAAAACGAAATCCGTTCCAATATTTGGTATAGCGATACCAAGATAAATGGCTTTAAGATTCATACAGGATCCTGGTGTATTAGACGAAGGATCACTCCAAGCTTTTTCAACAGGAATGCATTGAAAGATTGTAACCCCGAGCTATGACTACCTCGTTAGCTTCTCGAAAAATAGCCGACAGTAAAGTGGATGGTCCTAACAGCAACAACTAAATAGCACACCGTCAAAACAATCAAGATTATAGAAATTATCCTAGTCGAACGGTCCGCGTGGAATATACGGTAGATCATCATCGAAAGGGAAATCTTCGCGGCAACAACGGTGAACATGTAAAGAATTTCTAAGATATAGAAGACTTTGTAGATAGTAGTGATGGAAGTTACGCTAAGAGTTTCCATATGTTTTCCAAACCCAAGCTTGATACCTATGAACTAGTCAGCGTGCATGCAAAGTATCAATTCAAGCGTTGTCCACAATACTGTAAAGATATCCCGCAAGCTCTCCAGTCAACGAAATCTGCTATGTTAGCAACGTTTTTGGTGGTTTGACTCAGACTCACTACTGCAAGAATCATAAGCCCATCATCGATGACATATAGTACCTTTCTGCGAGCCTTGTTATAAATCGAGATTGCAGTACAAACAATGGCCAGTCCATATACCACACTGCATGCTGCTATATTGGCAATTTGAGAATTGTCCAACGATGGATATGTAACAGATGCGTTCATCGTTTTTGGTAGCTTGCGCTATCTGGGAAAATGCGGAGACCAGATGAGAGTGTCAAGAAATTAAAAGGTATATATTCAAATAATAGTAAAGGATATCAAGCTCAATGGAGATGTCATACTCGGAAAGTACATGCTTCTTATAAACTAATGTGCTTCGTTTGACTGATTTTGCCTTGCTCATGGAATGGGAGGCTGAGTATGCAAGTTGGGTAGCACTGCAGTTCTACATAGCCGATTTTAAAAGCCGGCTCTAATATTCAGCCGACTACGACTATTAGGCCGGTAAGAAAATCGTTCCCCTTTCAGAGACACGAATGAACTGATCGTTTAAATGTCTGAAGAGAATGGTTCATGTAATATTAAGCTTTCTTCCAGAGAGTTGAATACGACGCCATTAAACATGTTGCATAGGCTTCTAACACTTGCTAGTTTCCCCAATATGAAGAAGTCGTACCTGGCTCTGTAAATAATGGACTATTATAATGTGAAAGCATCGCAATAGTGCGGCTCCTCGCATTAATACCATCAGAATGACGCAGAAACCGATTTACACCCTAGCCTTGAATGTCAAGCCAGTTTCTATGATCAAATTATTTGTTTGATACTACTTCCAAATATCTTCTGATGCTTGGAATTGGAATTTTCACCCGTATCTATCTCAAATTATATGCCGTTGTGTAGTGATAATCTACAGCTGATAGGTATAGCCATCACTACCCTGAAAGCGGGAGACCTTGAATTTCCTAAATGTGTGTTTGTTTTAATTCGGCCATTTCAGTATTGATCAATTGAATATCCGGGTTGGCTGAGAAGGGAATATCGACTCGCACAGTGGTCTCAATTCCTATGACTGATCGTGCGTCTTGACAATAGACTGCAGGTTTACGGATCATGCTTCCAATATTGCACGAATAATCATAGCAATGGCCATGGAATATTCGCAGGAAACAAAAGGAATAGGGTATACAGGGTAACTTTCCTGAATGCTATGGCGCTGCAAATGGGGTATCAATTCTAAAATCATCTCCAACATGTTTCCATCAATTACCACCATGCGTCTCAAGCTTTTCTGTTTCTGTATTCGAAAGAATCTCTGCTTCCTTTCCCGATCGATTGCTCCCCTCCACTTTCTTCTCCGTAGCTTCCTTTCCGCTTCTTACGATAAAATACTTTCCGCCCCCAAATTCAACCTTTTCAGTCGCAGTTCCAGTAACATCCCACTCTTCTACACCTTGTGTGTCTATCACGATCCCTGGCTGCCTTCTCGGTCTTTTGTTTCTTCCTTTAAATTCCTCTTTCTTTAACGCTTCTTGGATTTCCTTAGTTTGCAATCCAATGGACTCATGCGCCTCTGCCTCCAACGTCTCATCCCTAATACTCCTTAGCGGCTCGATACCCTCGGTATCGACCTTCTGAATATCCCTCAAGAAATGCAATTGTAAATGTAGTGTATCTAGTAATTTCCTTTCTTCTTCCGGTGTTTTGGGAAGAGGAAGTGCGGAGAGTCGACATAAATGATGAAGTTGTTTGACGGTAATTTCTTCTGCAGGCTTCTCATTCGGAGATGGTAACAGAGATCGAACGGACCAAGTGGGCTTTGATAGGAGCTCATCGATATTTGTCTTTTGGTGAGAAAGATCCACGTTTATTCGAGCATATACTCGGCGGACTGGGACTTGTTGATCTTCCGGCTTAGGGGTCAGAGGTGTCGTTATTTTACTTCCGTGAAGCTTTACACTCCGCGGCACAAAACGACCTGTGCTACTTCCTGATTTAGGTAATGAGCTTCCACCTACTGCAGATGTCTCTCGAGGGGCTTCTGAAGTACTGTATGTTCGGGGAAGGAAACTTTGGGCGTATGTGTGTTTTGTGGTAGAAAAGGAGTGTCGCAGCGATGCGCGACAACGCAAACATACTGATCTCGACATTCTGTGGTCAATTAGGTGACAACGTGATGTTCATGAAAATCATTAATTGTTTTATATTGTGAATTTGATAAAATGTTCCCATGCGTTCCCCAGAAGTACGCTAGTGTGGATCGCAGGCGGGGCAAGGCTATGTCAGAGCGTAACGACTAGAAACAAACAACCCTTGCAAGAGTTGTCTTCAAAACCACGAACACATGTCAACTCTAACAACTCATTAATACGTACAACTCTTGATTAAACTCATTAATTGATAATTTTTGGCACGAGACATATATTGCACAAAAGAATACAACACAGAAAATCGCAATCATGGCACAAGATCCTCGCACTCTTATGCAAAAGGTACCAAACCCACCATCTGCTGCTCGATAAGCTTCATATTGACCATTCTCGAAGGCAGATAAAGCAGTTGCAGGTGCTTCTGGTGGCTTCAGTCTTTTCGGTGGACGACAGGAGAAGTGGGAAAATGCTGCTGAATTATATAACCAAGCTGCGAATGCATTCCGCATGCAAAAGCAAAGTAACACTTTCCCAAGTCTTTGCACCTTTAGATTTATACTGATGCCCATTTTACAGACAAGGAAGCCGGACAAGCCTTTGAGCGCGCTGCCGATATCCAAACCAACAAATTGAACGAACCCGACGATGCTGCCAATACGCTCACAGAAGCCTTCAAGGTATACAAAAAGGGGGAACCACTAGATGCGGTTCGATGCTTAGACGTTGCGATCAACCATTATACATCGAAAGGAAATTTCAGGAGAGCTGCCACGCATAAGCAGAATTTGGCAGAAGTATATGAGATGGAGATTGGGGATATGAAGAAGGCAATTGAAAGTTATGAATTAGCTGCTAGTTGGTTCGAGGCCGACAATGCTGAGGCGTGAGTTTTGACCTCCATTATTAACACCAAGGCTATTGGTATTAGTTATGAATATGTACTGATATATCCACAGATTGGCCAATAAACTTTATCTCAAGGTCGCCGACATCGCCGCTCTCGATGGCGACTATTATAAAGCCATCGAGCATTTCGAGAAAGTAGCAGCATCCTCCGTCTCGAACAATCTCATGAAATGGTCGGTAAAGGATTATTTTCTCAAGGCCGGTCTGTGTCATCTAGCTGTCGGCGATACAGTGGCCACCGGGCGAGCTTTCGAAAAGTACAGAGACATGGATCCAACATTCCCAAGCACAAGGGAACATCAATTATTAATCGACCTCGCCGAGGCCGTTGATGCAGGCGATCAAGAACAATTCGCCGACAAACTATTTCAGTATGATCAAATGAGCAAATTGGACAAGTGGAAGACGACAATTTTGTTGAAAATCAAGGGTGCGATTGAGGAGAAGGGTGATGATTTCTCATGATCAAAACTCTGTTCAGTTAGAATTAGCTCTTTTCGTTTGGCGTTTGGGTTTTGGGTGATATCTTTTGAGTTAGCTGCGGAGAAATACATTGTCATGGTCTTAAGCTTTGGCTAAACAAATATCTATACGAAAGTGATTAGTCTTTATACAATTATTGGAACCCAAGTTTTAGGTCAGTGTGCTTGAGGCATAATAAATATTTGACGAAAGTCATGTCTTCCGGTGAACCACTTCCTAGTCCAGGTAGATGAACTAAGATATGATATAAATTATGAAGAGTAGAGGGCAGAAGGAGGAATAAGATTTGCAAACTGTAGATCTAATGGAGTGAAGTGAAGTGTTATCAAAAAATTGATCATGAAATTATCCTACATGTGTGCTTTTTAAATATCGAGTATAAAAAAATGGTTAATACAATGCGCTGATCATAAAAATGAGAATAAAAATATGCTCCAAGCCTCATCCATCGTCTATTCATCTCGAGCCTGTCCCGATCAACTCCACGATGTAAAAGCATCTCCTTCTCAATTAACATGCAATTTCTCCACATCCTCCTGCATCTTCATCTCTTCATTCTTCCTGCTCACCTCACTCTCCAATTTCCTCGCCTCATCCTCCAAATCCGCTTCCCCGCCTCCCTTCCTCTCCATCTCCTCCCCCTCCCTTCTCTCTCTCTCATCCAACAACTCCAACGTCTCCTCCTCCTTCGCCACCTCCTCCACATCAATATCCTCCCATCCGATCTTTTCCAAAATCGTGCCGACGAGATACTGATACCTGAGGTGTCCACTGACCATCTCACTCACATTTACATTCTCAATCCCTTTCACATCTTGCGCGGGTTGTAGACCCGCAACGCCGAATTGGATGCTACTGGTGCGGTAGAGGAAAGCGAGGATGTAGTCGTTTTCGGAATAGACGTTTACGAGACGTCCTGAGACGACGCTGCGCATGGCGCGCCATGCGGCTGCGTCAGAGGGAGCGGGGGCACCGATTAGGACTGCGGATCTTTTTGAAGGTTAGTAAATATACTATTGTAGAGGATGCGAGTGGGATGAAAAGGGATAGAGGATTAACTTACTCGACTAAACCAAATGCTCGACGTTCAGCCAGACTCATCAGACATGAATAGATTAGTCTGGCTCCCAAACTATAACCAATCAAAGTGACTGGTCTCTCCCCCTGCGCTTTATTGATAAGTGCATCTGCAAGAACCAAGCCCGCTTTATCGGCACGATTTTTCGCGACGGAAAACGGATTATCGACGACTTTTGAGATTTTCAATAGACCGAGAGGCCACAGAGCGGTCATCAAACTCGCGAAGATGGTGCGAGCAATGATTTCTTTCTTGGCCAGAGACCAAGCTGCACTTTTGACCACCGATTCTAATGATGTCCCGAGTTTGGATAGGGCTTCGAGTTCGTAGCGGAGTGCGAATACCTCACTTTGATGTCCGAGTACACGCCATGGGGTAATAACATCTTCTTTCTGGGTCAGCCATCCGCTAACACCTATTGTGACTCTTAATCTTCGGTCTTTTGCTGCCAATTCCTTGACAGATTTCTGATGTGGTGATCCTCTCAGCGGAAGAAATGCAAAATCCGAAACCTCTTTCGCGTACGAATCCATCATCTTTCCCGTCATACTAGCACCATAAGCACCGAAAAGACTCCCAACAATAACTCCACTTTCCGCTAGAGCTCCGAGCAAGCCTGCAGCTGTCGTTGCGCCAAGACCTAGTCCTCCCATTACAGTTCCTAGAGCGCCTGCGACAAGTGGAGCTGCAAGACCACCTGTAACTCCGACTATCGCGGCGCCTGCAACACCCGCGAGTCCGACCTTCCATCTTCGAGCTACTTTGTTCTCTTCGCTTCTCTTTTGTGTTTCTTCGTTGCCGGACATTTTCTTGGCGGCTTCTAGGAGTCCCTGTGCGACTTTCACCTCTGTCTCGGCGAGGATGTGAAGGGGAAGATGAAGAGATGATGCTATATGGAGTAAAAGAATACGAGAATGCGCCGTGTAGTGCTCTAATGAAAGAAGCAGTAATAGCATGGCGTGTAGGAGCATTACTCTTTTCTCTTCCTGTAACGAGTAGAGAGCAGTAGACGTCGGTGGGTAAAGCTCTACTAAAGCCGCATCTGCTTCCACAACATTGGTAGTTTGTTCTATAAGAGTTAATAACCAACTTATCTCAAAGTAGGTAGAAGCTTGAAGCAATCATTGATAGTACATACTAACAACCTTTGTCTTTGAATCTGCATCAGGGGTAGCATTTGCGCTGGCCTTCTTCTTCTGATCTTCCGTGACTTCTTTAGGGTTATTGACAACCGATCCAATCCTTGATACCACACTTTCTTGCCATTCCTGGAAAAATTTCAGAGCATCACGCTTCAGCTCCAACATTTTAGGAGCCGACAATTCCTTTTCTCTCTTTTCTCTTAGATTCCTAGCTTTCTCCTCTTCTTCGGATTCTTCATTTGGTTGGCTGTCATTAGTATTAGGATTCTTATCTCCAACTTCCAAGGCTTTGCTTGGAGCTTCGCCTGTGGTAATCGAGGCATCAAAAGTATCACTGATCTGCTTTTGCATGACCTCTGTAATATTGGCGATGAGAAGTGTCAGATCAACACGTTCCTCTATTTCCAACATGGTACTAAGATCGTGCTCATGGTCTTGAGACGACTCTGATTTCGATGACCAAGGAGCCATAATTATTGATTAGATTTGCGAGAATTGAGGGGAAAGTGTTGTCGCATTTGTTTACCACTTGTATATTTCGGTCGTTGAGCATCTATCGATTGACGCCGATGACATAATGTCTTATCTTATCGTAAACGCGACTACTCGATGACGTAGAAATTCTCGCGACTGTGTAGGTAGATATACATACCTGATTCAAATAGATATTTATAGATTCAGGCTCCCAAATGTCACGAAATCATTCATTTACACAACGATTGTAGCTTTAGGGCCAGTATGGGAGTGCTCCCGGCTCTTATCGTAATCATGTGATATAGTTTTCATTTCTTTCTTCTCTCTTCAATTGATGATGCTTGATTTTAAAACTGCATCGCGTTGCCCATTCAGAAACCTCTCTGCAAAAACCTCCTAGAACATTCGGCCTGACCATAGAGGCTAGCCAATATAGGATTGGAACTCTGACGAATTAATCTCTTAAATTTCGATCTTGTCCTCTATAACCTTATCCATCATCATACTTAACGGCCCTTTTTTAACCATTAAACTGAGTACTTCATAGAGCGCATCTGCCGCTGCCATAGTAGTATGTTCCGCATTCGTATCATACGCTGGGGCTACTTCGACAATATCTGCGGCAATCAGGTTGATACCCTCCAATCCTCTTAAAATGGTTCTGAGTTCTCTAGTAGACCATCCTCCTGTTTCTGGAGTTCCTGTTGCGGGAGCAACTTTGAGGAGATTAGCATTTTGTTCTTGTAGGACAAGAGCCAATGATTAATAGGCAGACTTACAGGCAGGATCAAGAGTATCGATATCAATAGATAGGTAAACAGGTCTATCAAGTCCTACACGCTCTCGGATTTTCTTGATGATACCATCCATGCCAATCGTGTCGATTTCTCTCGCTTCAACAATTTCAAAACCGCAATACCCATCATTTTCATAGTCGCTAGGACCACTCAAAGTAGTCCTGATACCCGCATGGATATTTGTATCATTTGCAAGCAAGCCCTCTTGTGCAGCATGGTAGAAGTAAGTACCATGATTGATGGAAGCAACTTTCGACGGACTTCCACCAAATACTTTTGGTTTCCAGGTATCAAGGTGGGAGTCGAAGTGAATGACGGAAACAGGACCATATGCACGGTTGATAGAGCGAAGAAGAGGGAGAGTAATTGTATGGTCTCCCCCTAAGGTAATAACCCTTGGAAGAGTTTTACCATTTTTGGCAGGTCCGAGTTTCTTGGCATCGGTTGCGGGGGCACGCGAGAGAATGGAGTTATGGCCTTCTTCGATTTGATGAAGGGCCCATGAATTATCGTAGCTAAGATAAAATCTGTTTTAACGACATAATTATATTAGTGGATGAATAGGTAGACATACGATGTGACAGGAATATCTCCACAGTCAATTACTGTTGCCCAACTATCGAAAGGGTTGGTGGCTAGAGGAACATTGTATCCTCCACTGGGTGAAAACAAGCATGTAAGCCTACGCACATCTAGAGATGTATACTAGCAACCCTCTCAAAGGTGTACGTACTAAAGATTCAAACGTCTTGAGCCTTGCCTAATTCCTGATGGACCAAATCGAGCTCCAGGTCGGTACGAAGTTCCGGTGTCAAACGGAGCTCCTGCAAGCAAATTAATATGCGTACGATTCCTCGAGACGTTAAAGCCTTGTAAGAAACTAAGACATACCAATGAACGCAATGTCATATTTCACATCATCTGTTGCCAGGCATGGAAAATATGGCAATCTACCAAACGTGGAGATGCCCGAAAACACCGAATCGGCCTGAATTTTATTAGCCAACTCTCAGAGATTGTCTCCCAATAAACGTACTTGGGTTCCTCCATCACCAGGTAAAGTGTTGTACCAAAGTGATTTGTGTGGTCCAGCAATTGGAACTTGATTTTCATGGTCGCCATGCGCCAATGCACTTGCACATAATGCGGCAACGGTGAGGACGTTAGTCAACATTATGAATGATAAAATTTCACAATTGATGAGAATGAGATGAAGATACGAGATTTAGAGGTTCTCGTGAGTTTTTATAGACGTTCTGCGCTGGCAAGACTCCAATGCCTTGTAGATCAACACATCAATTATCTTAGACCAATTGGTCTGATGCCTATGTATGGCCTTATCCCGTCAAGGATCGATAGACAAATGCTGATAAATCGCATAATGGTTATCTGGCCGGCAACATACATGATAGCAATCGTGAATAATGAAATCAGTGCTGATGGATAATGCTTTGATATTCTCGTTATGTAAACCGGCGCCAGCGGCCAGCCAGAGCAAATGATGGTTGGATGAAGAGTATCCAGAATCTAGAAGATGGTTCCCGTGGAAATCTGCATGATGCAAAGATAAACGGTTTTGGTGTAACTGTGATAGGAAGTCCATCACAGATTATGATGCGGTGAATAACAGAATGGAGTCTTGTTTCATTGGGTAAAGCTCCTTCGATGTGGAAAGAATGTATATAGATCATGAAGATCACGACATTCAGTTTCAAAGTACCTGGGTAGATAAATCCGTGTTATCGGATTATTGTAGTGAGGTAATAGATAGAGATGATAAGAAAGTTGGAGCTTTATCACAAGGAGGGGTAAGAAAATCCCCAGGAAGCGGCATTTGGGTTGGGGTAAAGGGCCTGAGGCACCAAATTGAAATGATAGGACCAGGTGTGTGCGCCGGCATTTCCTTGAAATATCGAAAGAATTTGATATGTGCGCCCTGTGATATATTTTCACGTTCTATTGAGGAAAGAAATCGATGGATAACCTTACATTACCTAATCAATCGTTTAAACAATTGACAGAATACATGGCAAAAGATTCTGAAAGGAGTACCGGAGTGCAAAACAAGACGAGCGGTCGTCAACCACTAGGTGGACGATTAATAATACAAGTAGAAGCGTTCATATTATGATAACTGGACTGGCAAACGATACAATGCAAGATCATATATTAAAAGCAGCATCAAGTTTTCAAGTAATCCAAGTGACGTACGATGTACTCCTCCGTGGATGTCGACTCCTAGGCTAATCATACACGTGGTGCACTCGGTACGCGAGTTTCTGCGGCTGACTCCGTTTCTGGGCCGGTCCTTTTGGCCCAAGTCAAAGGGAACCATGTTTGAACTTTTCTGCACCTCAACGGCGCTGTCTGGTTGTCTGGCTGTCTGATTTGTATGTCTGTCTGTCCAGCTGGACAATGGAACCCTCTGACCCAAATAGATACGGAGGCAACCATTCCTTATTTTTTCCTCCTTCTCCTTTTCATGGGTGGAATTGTGCAGAGCAATCTAATGAAATGTTTTTGTAGATGGAGATGGAGATGAAGATACAATCGACCGTTTTGGTTAAAATCTTGGTGAGCTTATCTACCCAGGTAGTAAACAGATCGATCATCGTTCATCTGAAGGGGGGATTTATACTTCCTTGGAAGCGGGCTAGAAGGCCAGCGAATCAATTACAAGCGAGGGGTAAAGGCAGGTTAATTCTACCCTGTGTGGACTCCCAAGTATATATAGCCCAAGCAAAGAAGGTTCAACATTAATGAATCGGAAAACTTTGATACCAGCCATCTTAATTTCCATTTTCTTTTGTTCCCTATCCTTCTCCCGAATAGGTTCGAGCGTGACGCTTCCGTCGGGAGACATGATGCAATGCGTAAGGAAGTCAGAAAAAGAGCGTCGTAAGAAAAATCTTGTTCAGCCGTCAAATTCCTTCCTATCACACAAATCGAATCCTTTGCATCCATATGCATGATGGATCTTGATAGATCCTATTCGTCAATCTAGAATTGGTGGTCGGTTGCAGGTGAATGCACGAGGGTCTATCGTCCTTCTTCCTCCTTTGGAAAGAATAATAAATAATGAGTGTTTCCGTATGGCATCTTGATAATTTGATTCGTTGATCGAAAAGAAAGACGGCTTGCGATGATTCAAAAAGGAAGCATCACCATATTATATTGTATGGCAAGAACCTGGAAGAGAAGAAAAGAAAAGGCCAAGTTGTCGTACAGACCTACTTATACCCAACGCTTGATGTACACCTGTACTCTGTACTTGTTAGCTGTAGCCTGTATGTAGTGAAGTGAACCACTTCTGCCGTTGGCTTTGACACTTGGAAATACAATTACAGGCAGGATTCAGACCTCACTCTCACTCACTGCAGCACGCACACGCACTAGAATCCCCCACCCTTCCAACCAATTGACGCGCTGAAGGAGCTCAATGGCTACCCAAAACCCTATTACGATTCAGTAATTCACGAGGATTCGCGACATCCTGGGCATCTTACATACCGGGTACTCATACATGCTAGGCGTGAGGTCGTACTCCAGACACTCACACATCTAATAAATAGCACGGCGACATAAGACACGAGAAAACTTGGGAACATGATAAAGTTGACGAATAAGATCTCACAACTTCACATCTCCACTTCTCCATCCATCCATCTAGAATTGGACAACGTTGACTGTTTCGATTTCTGCTTCTTTTCCTCTTTTTGTTAGGCACCTCGCATTGCCATCTGTCATTGATTCAATTCGAACGTTTACTCTTCTGCACCTAAACACACACGCAGCTATCCACTCCGCTCCACTCCATTCCTTTTTCTTTTCGATATTATACTGGTGCCCTCGAATCCATTACACATTCACTTCTATCAGTCCCAAATGCACTCGACGTCTCAGAGTGTATGAATGGTTGAATTGGATTCGAGAATTGGAGCTTGTTGTCCCATCAGAGAGAGGGCTTCGTGGAGCACAATCTGCAACCCATAATCGCAACACACAACTTACAACCTGCAATCTATACTGATTCGAATCTTCCTCAAAAGTGTATCACCAATATCCAATAAAAATCTACACATCATTTGATCCTCTTCAGTCGAGACTGGATCGACACGATTTTACGAATTTCCTTTTTTTCTCTACTACCTATTCAATCATAAATTTTTGGCATTCTTAGCCAAGTGTACCACAATAATTCACCACCACCGCCCACCACTACAACAACCACTGCAACCACTACCACCATTCACATTCCTCACCACTCGGCCTAATTTATGCCTTCTGCCAACTTGCGATACTGCACGAAGCCGATACCACGAGGACTACCTTTATGCAACTTACCGATCTTCTCGTTATGAGAACAATAATCTGCTGAAATAAGAACAAACTCGAAAATTAACACAGGGTTTTCCCAAAATTATTTTCTTTTTAGAAGGCCCCATTTTTATTCAACTTTATGCTCATCACACAGACGACGAACTGGCTCAGGATGCCGTCCCGGGAGCTGGGAAGCTCTTCTGAAGCTCCAAATAGCGCACAAAGTGTTGGAACAACTTTATTGAAAAGGCATAAAATCCTACCTCACCCAAGAGAGTTCCGTCCTTCCGATTTGTCGTCTCAATCACAAACATTCAAATCTCGCGATAGAAGTGCAGAAGCAGAATCAACGCCGTCACAAAATTCCGAAAATCCAAATCCGCGTATGTTGAAGCATACTTCGAAAAGGATTGGCGCTCCCCTACTTCCGCCAACCCCACCAGCGCATTCGCGACAATCATCTGACACCAGCAGTATTCTTGTTATACCCGCGCCGAATTCTGAGATCCAGTCTGTGAAGGATTCCAGCGTAGAGTCAAAACCGACCACGCCAACAATTCAAAAAAGTCCACCCACTCCCGATGTCACACCTCCACGCGCAATGCCACCATTGGCATTCCGCCCAGCATTAGCAAACTCGCGTTATCCCTCTTCGCGAACAGATTCCTTCCGAACAGCGCGGGAAATTTTATATTCGTCAGACGAGGATGAAACATCCACAGTTCGACCACGAATTCCCTCTGCAAACCCCTCTGAGGCAGAAGTATTACAAATTCCTCGTAAAGAAATCGGGCTGGGCTTGGGTCTAGAATCCGACAACGAGGGTTCTGCAACACCAAAGGCTAAGGAAATATCATCATTACAGGAGGAATTTGGCGGTTTTGATGGTGAATGGGCTACCTCTCAAGGAGAAATAAGCGAGGTGGAACGGGAATGGGATGATAATCTCATGAGGAATGTAGTAGTTAGGAAGCGCAAAGATAGGAATACCAGCTTTGACGAAGAAGGTGCAAATGGCGAAGTAGGGGAAGATAATTTGACTTCACTGACAGAAGCCACGAAAACTGTTCGAAGATTACCTTTACAGGAGGATTTCGAAAGCCACCGGCTGGAGAAAGATAGGGTGGAACCCACGTCAAAAGGTGGCACATGGCCCAGGGTACGAAAAGACACCACAGAATCTCCGGCATTATCAGATACAAGAAGGTTTTCTACCATGTCTGGTCACTCAACCACATCTACAGTCGTTGAAGCATTTGTCGTTGATGTACCTCCCTCGCGAATGAGAACCCTCCGCCATACCAAAAAGCAGATTGGATTGAGGGATTTTAGTTCAACTGAATCGACGATAAGCTCCACAACACCATCTGAGAAATCGAGTGAACAACACCATCGTTTATTGCACAAAGCCGAACGAATACCCGAAAGACACAATGGAAGTTTGGCATCGAATACTACCCCAAGCATTGCTTCGAGTCACAAATCGCGCAGAAAGATCATACGTGAGGGTGGAGTACCCGTTGTGGTCATTCCAGATCGCATGTCTTCGGCAAAGTCCTCTAAACCTCCATCTCTACGTTCAACAAGTAGTCGACAAACTAAAAGGAGTAATTCCCTACGGTCGGCCCCCTTGTCACAGTCTTCGAGAACAAATGAGCCTGGATATTTTGATATCATGCGACCTACCAATAAACGTACAATGTCAGAATCTGCAGGATCGAGCAATTCTGTACATACTATCGATTATCCTCCAAGCATCCCAACTCGAAGGTCTTCACTTTCCGCTCCAACGAGCCGAAACACTTCGAGAGCTGGTTCATTAACTGCGGAGAGCCTCAAAGCTCACAATATGCTTCAGGAAAAGCATTCTTTGAAAATATATCTAGTAGAAGCGTCAAAGCCTATTGTCTCGGAGAAAGAGATTGAGCCACAACATGCTCGTTCAAGCATGGATCATAATCGACTAAGTATTGATCATCCTGACGAACGACAATTTCATGCACGGCGATCCACACAAGCTACACCATTTTCACAAGCATCGTACGAAACAGCAGGTACTGCAGCAACAACTGCTGAAATCTCGCAGGCTATGGCAGTGTCGATGGTCCCACATCAAAACAAGTCATGGACAATGATACACAGGGAATCCGAGCCATCACCTCCCACTTTAAGACGATTGATCACACAGCCAACTGTTGAGGTGAATGGCGAAGCTAATAACGGTCCTACAACTCCCCCGCAAAATCTACATACAATGGATGGTGTTGTCTCACCATTGCGAAATCCTCGTGCCCCGCCTGAACCACCGGCGATCAAATTCATTCCTCCAACTCCATCTGATATGTCGCCTGGAGCAGCAGAAGAACGACAATTAGGGTTTGACTTCGATGCTCGAATGGACGAAGATGATGATGATCGACCATCCTCGTCAGACAAACTCAAACGTAACTTCTCTCTTCGCCGTGCTTTTACCAACCGACGTTATTCAGATGTTGTAATACCAGAAACTGGTTTGATAAAGCGCACATTCTCACTGAGTGGTCGTCGCAAAGATATTTCAACTCAAACCTCGAAACCAGAGGCAAATCCTTCTTCACATTATCCATCGGTTCTCGATCAACCTGCTGATGACAGCAAGCTACACCCATTTTGGAGACCAGCCAATTTCTGGGACGATCTAGAAGACAATGAGAACGATTCAGGTGACGAGGAGGATTATTTTCCTGAGTATCACAGTCCGGGAAATCGACGTGTGATACCAAAACGTGGCCTTAGTGGGAAATTAAAACGTACATTTGCGATTCTTCCGTTATCTTATGGCAATGAAGATTACAATCAAGCCCCGTTGGATCGAAAGACAATGCGAAGATCTCCTAGTGGCAATGCTTTAAGAGTTGTAAAGCAAAGAAGCAATAACACATTAAGACGAGAAGCAGATCAGAGAGTTCTTCGTGAAGCAAAGCCTGGAGAGTTCGGTCATGGCTTCAAAGAGGGAAATGGTGGTCGTATTCACACAATTCCTGGATTAGGTTTAAGGATTGAGTATGTGGGTCTGAAAGGACTCGGGAAAAAGCTCAGTGAAAGAAGAAGAGAACAGAGAAATGCAAAGTTGCGAGCCACTATCAGTGGACCCCGGGGATTGAGAAACGGGGTTGATGAGGTCTTGGAATCAAGAAGCGCAGAGTCGCGAAATGTGATTTGAAAAAGCAGAGAAGTGGATGATGCAGCATGAGGATGGATATACCCGGTGGAATTAACGAATGAATGATTTGATAGAATTGGGTAAACGAAAATACCGGCGCATCTGAACGATTTCTTGGACAATGTGGGATTATCACCACATATGGATGAAAGCAACAAAGTTACGACCAACACATGTATTATGAAGGAAAGATTTGACGTTTTTTTTTGCCAGCTTTTACTTTGCTTTTCTACATGTACTATTTTGTATCTGCTGCGTGTTTGTTTTTCTTTCCGACGTGTTTCCTTTCCATGTTCTTTTTCAATGATGACGCATCAAGCAGGCTTGGATGTTTCGTCTGTCATCTTTTTCTCATGAGTTTATTGGCAATTGAATGGATAAAGTTATGGATGATGGATACTTTAGGACTTTTTCCTTAATTAGATGGCTGATGATGAAAGATATACTCCATCGTTTTACGACTTGATACTTTCCGAATCAAGTTCTTCTATTTATGCTCAAGCTCATAGTCTGCTTTTGTTTTACTTCTATTTTAACGATGAAAGCATCTCTGGAATTCAGAAATCTGTTAGCTTTGATGGTAGCTTCAGCTATCAGTGAAAAATGGAGGTGGTGTCTTTACATATGCTGGCTGGAGCCAGGAGGTATTGGTCGAGCGTGGTATCAAAATCTCTGATGGAGAGGTGAAGCGAACGAGTTGTGGTTGGAAGATGTTTGAATGAGCTACGTGATGAGAGATGCATGAGCAGGTGGTATGATTAAAATTAAAATTCTTAGATTATGAAATGGAATGAATATATAATATACAAAAGTTAATGATCAAATTGAGGCTTGAAATGTGAATGTCATGAGATCTGAAGCGAAAAATTAACGACACTCATGCCAACGAGAGCTAGCGGCCGCATTCCGCGAAATAGTTTCTCCACCTATTTAAAAATTATTTCGGAAAAGCTCAGCTTGAGAAAATGAGCAACACAAGACTTTGAACCGCACATTCAAAGAAGCTTCGCTGCACATACACAATCTTGTAAATTATTGTGCTCATCTTATTGAATGCAGCATTGATAGACAATTGATCGCATACTTATATTTTGAGAAACAAAATAAATCCCTCGGGCCAGAACCAACGAACTCATCGAGGCAAAGCATCATTGATTCTACATCGAAGCACATCTAGTCCGTTGCACCGGTCGATCACTTGAAGAGTTGAATATACGAGAGAGAAAGGAATAGAGTCAAAATGGTTCAAGGCGCACTTAAGTCGACGAAAAGCGCATTGGCGGGCGGGAATCGAGCGAATGGAGCGGGGAAAAAGGCGGCGTTGGGACCGAAGAAGGGACAGAGGGTTATTAAGGCAAAGAAGGATGGATTGAGGAGGAGTGAGGTTTTGAGGAAGGTTCGTTGTTTTTTTTATTCTATTGTTTTTTTCGGTTGTATTGGAGAGAAGGGAAGAGGGGAAGAGGAGACAGAGGAGGGAAAAGGAGAAATATGATGACGCACTTACATATGCATGGCTTTCCTAGTGGTCTCCTCGAAAGAGTCGAGACTTCTTTGACGAGTTTAAGTACCTGTCTGATTTCTACACTAATGATTGCTGCTTCAAAGATGCCACGAAGATTGGGAAAAGAGAGAGAAAAGATCCTGGAAGTTATATGAAAAGAATTTCAGCTAACAGAACTTACCTAAATAGAAACATTCAGCAGGTCTCACAGCTATGACGGAAAAAACACTCGGTGCGAAAGCAGGTCATCTGGAGTTGTTGGGAGTGGGAAAGAAGAGTAAGGGGAAGGATGGAAAGAATGCTGGGGAGACCAAGGGGAAGGGAAATGCCGGGGCGACGATTCATGGAGGAGAGAAGGGAGGAACAAGGAAATTTGGTTAGAGGGCTATAGTGCTATAGTGCTATATTAACGGAAGGACAGAAGATGATGATAAGAATGAGAATGGATGAGGAACTTATTTGATTGGTATTGGTATGGAGTCTGGTTGGCGCTTTGGGAAGGATTGGCGTATGAGGGCTAGGGATGGGCTAGGGATATGAGAGGTGGGATCGGAGATGTATTGAAATCATGAAGATTTATACATACATACTTATGCACGGATTGAATGCGAGATCAGATATATATCTCATGAATACACATACACATCATAATGAAAGCAGGCTTTACTTCTTTGCCAAGAATATATATAATTTACTGTTCAAATCTCTTGTTCCCTTTGAACAAATAGATCCGCTCTTCCGTGCTGCATTGTAGCTATACAATACGATAGCAGGTGGACGATATGATTTGGAGGGGTCCATAATCAAGCTGGTCACTACTGGATGAAGATGGATGGACTGGTGATGAAATCGGATGGAATGGCATATTGTGAATACTGAATATATATATATGTATGTATGTATCTAGGTATGTATCTAGGTATGTATCTAGGTATATATGTATCTAGGTATGTATCTAGGTATGTATGTATCTAGGTAGGTAAGTTGATGGTTATGATGACTAGCTATATACTCTGTCGGGGAAATGTAATGTAACAGAATGAACTTAAGATCTGAATATCTGGATTAGGGGGAGGAAATGTGATGGTTATGATGATGGCAATGGTGATACATTGGTAGATGAGTGTTGTGGGGTGTTGTGATGGGATAAGAAGGTATGGGATAGGATACGATTGGTTATGTTATGGGATAAGAAGGTGAATATTCAATTGATGAGTATATTCTTTCAGAGGAGAGGGGTTTAGCTGAAAGTTCTTTGAGAGGGGGGAAGGGGTAGATCTCGTTTAATCAGGGGGCGGAGTGGTATTAGGTAGCTTTTCTTGTTTTTTTGTTGGTTATTGAGTTGAGTGTCTAAACCTTTTTATTAATATCTGTCTTTTTGAGTTTTCTGTTATTGGCGGCATGGGAATAGGAACAAGAATGTGACGAGTGATAGGTCAGGTGAATGTGGATTTATGGTGAGATGAAATTCGCTTGGGGGGTGAACTGAAGAAGGTGATGGTGGCATGAATTGGTGGGTAAACTTAGCTTGGTTTTTGCCAAACTATTGAGGCTAGAACACATTCACGATGCTCAAGTGAAGTTACTGCAGCTCGACACGGTTTCGATATTACAATCACCTGACAAGGGAGGCTGTAGTACCAGCCCCTAGGTTATCACGAAGCGTATATACTATGTACAGCCATATTTTATACACAACACCCTGAATCTGAATAAGATTTGTAGTGTTCAGAATATGAATCGATGTATTCCAAGGTTAATACTGTATTCACCTATATTCGTACTGCACCGAGAGGACTACAAGGTAGCGAGTTGGAGATATAAAAGACCTGCAAACTCCCTCCTCTTAATACTTTCAACTTCCCTTCATCTTAATCTGAGAATCTTCTTTACAATCCATTCTCAAAACACCAATCTTCAGGAAAATATATCAGAAAATTAAAAAATGACAATCCATACTCCAAATCCCGCGCAAAATATCTACAATGCTCCCACACAACCCGCATACGCACTTCAGAGTGGCAATCGCAATCGCACGATCCCTATCCCATTGGATCAGGCACAAGGTTCAGTTCATGGATCTGCAGATATGGGAGGTGCAGTAGGAACACAGTTGGGAAGTGCTCAGAATGTTAATGTTAGTGGTAGTGGAGGGGTTGTGGCGAGTGCGCGGGCAGCCTCGGGACAGAGTGCTGCGAGGGCGGCTATTCAGGGTCGGAATCTAAAAAAGGGGTGTGGAAATAGGGGTGGGAGTGGAGGTGGAACTTCTCGGAATGTGAGTGCGGGATTGGGAATGTATGCTCAGGCTCAACCTCAAGCTCAAGGTCAAGCTCAAAATTTACATACTCCAGTTAATTATGTGCATCCTTATGTTCATCCGCAAGCTCATCATCTTCAAGCTCATCATCCGCAAGCTCACAATCCACATCCCCATAACCCAATGAACCACATCCAACCTCTTGTCGGAGGAGTGTTCGGTCCACACACTCCCCACATTCCTCGCGCAGGACGTGTATTACCTCCACTCGGTCCCTACATCCCTCGCACAGGAGGTGCACGTTTTCCTACGAGAAACCTCGGGGGCAATAGACCAGCTTATGGACCACTACAACCACTACCGGGCTTACCAGTTCCATTTGGGTATCCTCAGGTTGGAAATGAAAATGCAAGACGAATGGGATTTGGAAATGGGGGTATGAATGTGATTGTGAATGGGTGGGATAGTAGATGGGATGGGAGTGGTGGCGATAGGGGACGAGGAGCTGGTCCAAGAGGTGGTAGAGGTAGAAGAAGAAGATAGTTCGGAGTTTGAGGAGGGACCGAGGGGGGAGTGGTATTATACTGGGGAGTTTGGTTTAGATGGAGTTGGGGTTGGGGATTAGAGGGAGTCTTTTGGGATCGGGAGATCATGATGATGGAGGAGTTGGCGTTGGGAAAACGTAATTTGATGAGTGAGATGGTCTCATATTTGTGAGGTCAGAGGAGTTTAGCTTACAAGCGTGGTTTATTGTTTCTTCTTTGAAGAGTTTTTGTTGCAGTGATTTTGATAGTGATTGTGGGTTTTGCTGTTCTGTAGAGTTGATTTCTGTGGCTGGCTGTTCTACTATGAACTGCATCTTCTCCCTTTGGTTCGGCTGAGATTGCGCCTATGAGGAGGGTATTTTAACATGGAGAGTGCTACGACGTCAGGAATAAACTTAATAATTATATTGAGATGATTCAACCGGAATTGCGATCAAGTCTATCAAGAAACTTAGATGATATAAATTGTGTACAATTTTAGACCTTATGAATGATATATACACGAAAGTAGCATAAAGATGAGTGATCTTTTGATTATCATCTGATGTATTTACGTGTTATATTGCTTCTGAAGACGAATGAGAGCGACGAGCCTTAACTCTTTCGCAACCAGAATGAAGAGGTTATTTCCGTGTAAGGTAGATGCACTAGGAATAGGATAAGTATTGTAAATTCAATTGAATGTTTGGAAGACCAGTTCTTGTAGCTCGCAATCAGCCGAGGGAAAACTGTGAAAATCAGGTAAAAGTATTTTGCAAGTTCTAGATTTCGAACTGCTCCAAGAAGCAATACAAATGACACGGTAAATGATCTTGAGATTGTACTGCATTTTATTCTGATAACCGCTTCCAACATTCAACGCCAAAGTACCGATATATTGCGCATACCAAACTGAAAACAAAAGGAAAGATACATGAGGAATAAAACAATTGAGAAATATTTAATGTAACGACTGTGCTAATGAAGACTGATGACTGTTCGAAAGATATGAAAATTTGTGTTATATCAGACGGTACACTGAAGTGTGATGATATAAGGAAGAAGAGACTCGTTCAAACCAGGCTCGGGAGATGAAAAGTCTTCTGCGACGGGATTCGAGGTCTTTCGGATCTTGCAACTCTTCATATCTCCATCTTGTTCATTGTATGGTCGAATAAAACTGCGAAGCAATGCCACCCACTTTGGCAGATTCTTGTTTGATGCTTTATCTAAATATACGAAATTAGCACTAAGCGTGTTTGTAACATTATGGTGAATGGAGAGCGGTGACTCACGATCTCTCTTTCCAGTATCTTGGCGTCGCTCGATTTGTGACGGACCATTCTTTGAACGTCCAATAGAATATGGACCATTGGGAAGAGTGTCTGGTGTTGATGAAGTTGATACTCGAGATGATGGCGAAGTGGATCTTGGGGCGATCTCAGGATCATAATTGCTACGGGACAATCCCAATCTGTCTATCAGTCTATAATAAGATCCCTCGTCCAATCTATATATTTTGGCAGACGTATTATCACCTCCAAAGGGTTTGAATCTCGCTATGCTCTGAGAATAAACATGTGGCAAGCGTAATTTGGAATGTTCTTCCAGTTCAAGAATTCTGCTACGGTTAGGATTTTGGCGATCTTGATCAATCGTTCCATAATTCCAATTATAAGGCCCTCGTAGCCAATACCTGGAACGATATGTTTCAGGGTGTGGGACGTTCTGCCAGCCATTCCACTGGGGGAAATAGTGTCCAATGGGTGAGTATTGTGTGCCCTCTTGATCCAACTTGATCGGTCTACCAGTCATCTAGTATGTATTAGCAATTGGATGAATGAAGTTGAGAAGTTAAGGGTTACTAGCTGCAACATATAGAATGCTATCACCATTGATTTTGAGGACAACGATAGGATGTTCTTGGCCAATGATATCCTGGCGACAATCGGGCGGACACCTGCCAAGATCATGGTTCACATTTTGAAGATTTGCTAACGCATTCCATTCACATGGAACTCCTGGATGTATTCTTGGAATACGGAGAGGGCGAAGGATGCAACCTACGCGGATATCGGCTGCGCATAAAGACATTGCGACGGGAGAGAAAAGTTGGAGCTAAAGGTTGCACAAACTGAAAGATAGACGACCTTGAAAAGATGTATAGACTTAACTATAATAAGTTAGAAAGCCTATATAAGACGATTGAGATGTTATATTGTCATATACAGGAGATGTTGTGGCCCTTCTTATACCTCACCAGTCATGGTTGGCGCCCAACAAGATGAATCAATTCAATAGCGATTGCGATATCATGACTTCAATGATACATTTGTTGCACACTTGTGCTTGTGCTTTTCCAGAATTACTTTGTTATATTGAAACATAACTGAAATGCAAATAAAGCAATTGATTTGTTCGAAGACATAGAACATCCACCACCACCACCACCAAGTTTAACATGACCAATGAACTACGTTTCAGATAATCTTGAAATAAGTTGAAATCACAACTATCGAGAATAGACTTGAAGTAATTTTGATCCACGTATCATGTCTTGGCTGGTCCTTGATAGAAAAGAATAATTCGAAAGTCGCAAGTTCAGAAAGACAAGCCTAGAACTTAGCACGGCAAGAACCTAAATTTTAGCCGGTGACGAACCATGACCTCACAGAACCACCTGTGGTTTCAATTATCACTACAAAGGCCAAGATAAGAGCAACAGTGCAACACCAGAATTTCATTAGATTTTTGAAGCTCATCGTAATTGAGATCAATAAATTTTCGTACCTATGTAGATGATAATATCTGACGCAACAATCTCAACATTTACCACAACCGCAATCAAAAAGCTTGACATTCCACAGCAAGCAAGCAGCAAAAGGGAACAAATTAAACTGCCGGTATGACAGACCACCACATCTCCGCTATTCAATCACCGGATGAAGTCTATGAAATCCCTCTTCGACCTGTCAAATTTCCTTATATTCTTCCTGCTCATGCACCCCATTTTTCCGATCAAGGATGGGCAACCTTGTCTTTCTCGCCCACGGACCCTATCCACATTTCATCTCAGAAGCTTCTGCAAGCAAGTAAATCCTTCTTTGATCTTCCGCTTGAGTACAAGTCTCAGTTTCTTACGGGGAGGGGTACTGAGGAAGGATGGAATCGTGTGGAAGGCGAGAAGGAATTTATCACTCTACGTGAGATCAATACCACGCCTCCCGAATTGTTGGATGCTGTGAAAGAATTCTGGGATATTACTGGGAATGTTTTGAACAAGATATTGGGAGAAACTGCTAGTAGCTTGGGCATGAAGAAAGAATTGCTCACACGGTATTCCGAGCCATGTCTCAAGCTCCATCATGAGAAAACAGCAACCATGATCAGATTGTTCAGGTACGAAAGTGATGGAATAGAGGGGAAGGTCGTTTCGGAACGTATGGCATCATCATCTCGTCCGAAACATAAGTATTTGAGAACTAATTTTGTTAGCACATCGCGACCTTGGTCTCTTGAGCCTATCAATCAGTGATGCTCCTGGTCTGGAAGTTTTGGACATGCAATCCAAAAAGTCGTTCCCGATTGAACAATCGTTTGAGGGGAGAGATACAGGAACTTTACTCGTGGGGAGAGAGTTGAATTTCTTGAGCAATAACAGATATCAGGCTGGTGGTCACTCAGTGCGTATGTATCCAAAAACTGTGACCAGGGACGAGCCAAATGGAAAGGAGAATGAAGATAAACAAGAGATGCTGGCTGAACATTACAGGTACTCGATAGTTTTTGTACTTCGGGGTCATGAAGACGTGTCCATTAATACGGATGAATTGAGGACACCGATTACAGGACGATGGAAGAAGCCAATGAAGGGATTGAAGATGGAGAATCTATATCGGCGCTTTATGAGTAAACATGTCAATATCAATGTGGAAATGGAGGAGCGGCAAAAGCAGAGGAAGAGGTTGCATGAGAAGAAGGCGAATACGATGATAGGCCGACGAGGTGAAGATCATCATTGAAGTTCAAAGACACGGTTTACAAAGCGCGGTGAGTTGATGATGCTCATAAGGGTGATTAAGGACATGAAGTTTGCTAGAATAGTGCTCGAGTTCCTGGCGAGCTGAATAATATACTTTTAGGAGAGACAGTCTTTGTACAATGTAGTACAAAAACTTCACTGCTTAAGTTTTCAGTCCACAAGAAGAAGACCGCTGCAATGAGATTCAAAGCCATTACACAACAGAATTTCGGAATGTAGTTCTCTAGAGTCAAGATTTCGTCTTAGGACTGGGCCAAGTCTTTACACAAACACTTACCAGAAGTTGTTCACGAGCCAGTAAAGACATATTAACCCCAGTAAAACGTATTCGAGGGTTTCCTGTCGCTGCCCTCTGCGGAAAAGGCGGCGATTAGAACAAGAATGAGTATAACGATAGTGACATCGGGTACGTTGAAACAAGCGGGGGCGGAGTAGCGGAAAAAGCGGATCTATCTGCAAGGAAAAAAGCTGACTAAGTAGGTTACCCCTCATTCCACCTGCCTGGTGCTTCCCCAGCTTTTTCCAATGACGGCAATCATCAGCTTCGTGCTACTACAGTATTCCCGAAACACTTCGTTTTCTATCTAGTTAGGTTCACAAGACTAATCAGGCCGAGGTTGTACTCTTCATACACATACCAGCCATTCTCATCTTAATCATGCAAAGAAAGTTGCTTCCTCTTCTACCTCATTACACTGCAAGCTAAATCCAGAGTACCGGAGATTTAAGGATGACAATGGTGAGCAACCTTTGATGAAATCCCTCGATATCTACCAGTCGTTATTAACATGAATGTCATCCACGTGTAGTCTGAAAACAATCCGCCAATAGTCAAATTCACGACAGGAGTTAGTGATCGTGTTCAACTTGGACAAGGGACAACCTTTTTGCCCGGAAAGAAGGATCCATCAGTACAACATCTCATCGACCACGTCTTCGAACACGGCTACGTTATTCTTCCTAACATATTTACGCCTGAGCAAGTAGAGATAGCGAATTCCGAAGTGGCACGACTTGAAACTCTTGACGCTGGACCTGCTGCAATCGCTGGTCGAAACTATTTTGAGGGTTTCAAGACTGGGAGAGTTTATGCTCTCGCAGACAAATCCCGAGCGTTTGACCAGTTTCCAATACACCCCACTGTTTTGGCATTGAACGATTACTTCCTTCAACCCAATTATTTAATTACTAGTCTGCATACTGTGGTAATCTATCCTGGACAAACTGCACAGGCTATACATTGCGATGATGGATTAATCGCACTGCCAAGACCAAGGCCACTGATCGGTGTTGTATGTTGTACTTAGGCTTCTTTCAGTACGGTATGAATCGGGGAAAAAATGCTCACAACCTGAATAGGGCACCATGGTCTCATTCGACGATTTCACTGCCGAGAACGGTGCAACTACTGTAATTCCAGGGTCGCATTTATGGTCGGACGATCGCATCCCAACCAGAGAAGAGATGGTTCCAGTAATAATGCCGGCAGGCAGCATGGTCTATTTCCTCAATACTCTTTGGCATTCGGGTGGAGCGAATACCTCAGATAAGGCTCGTCGCAGTATTACAGTTCAATATTGTCAACCCTGGATACGAACATTTGAGAACATGACAATCGCAATGGGCTGGGACGATCTAGACAAGGTTCCAGAGAGACTGTTGAAATTGATGGGGTTCTCTACGCATGATTTCATGGGCTATGTAGACGGCCGTTCGCCCCGAGCCGGTGTGGAGATGCGAAAGAAAAGAATGATTGAGCGAGCTTTCAAGGAGAGAGATGAACAGCGAGGCTCGAAACTCTAGTGGTTCACTGAATTACAGCAGTTAGATGATGTGACATCATTCATTGACCTCCTCGCTATTCGCTTCAAGCTCTGATTCCGAATTTTGTCGTCCGTGTGATTTTGCGATCACAGATAAACAGCTGTTACAATCATTCTAGATATTCTCTTCTACTTGATGATTCCTGACTTTTGCCATCTCTTTCATTTCCTTTCACAGAAGATTGTTTGAAATTCCGTAGGTAGCGTGTAGGTTAGAGCGATACAAGTTTTTGCTAATCAACAATCAAGACCAAGTATCATTTGAAGACTGGTATTATTTCGGCTACAGTATAAGATCTTACCATAAATTCGCTCTTGGACATTCAATGGGAACCTTACCTATTCCTCCCTGAGAGATCATAGCATTATGGTTGTGATCAATCACCGCTCAATCCAAGCCTGCCCCTCCGCCGTGAAATAATGTTACATTATTTTGCCCGAAGAATGTCACTCGGTCATACTTTCCTTACATTTCTCGTCTTTCTCTGTACTCATGAACTACGGCAATCCGCATACATCAAACTCGGTGACTATTTTGGGATGTTGGAAATATTGGCCACTTAACATTGATAATCACAACTCTCTGAATTTAAACTTTACAAGTGTTAAGCTTCAGTATAGCTTTCGATTTCATAAGTCCAAGCTGTCAATTGCGAATTCATAGATCTTGGTTCGATACATGGAATTCAAGAAGAGCCACTAAGTAAATTTACATGATGTATAGTAATTACTAACGCTACACCTGAATGCTTACTCGTCTTAGTGTGAATCGCTGTTCAGTCTTTATAATGGAATGTGACTCGATAGGAATAATGCTAATGTGCTATGGGGGCGAGTTTTACAAAGCGAGAGATGTCGTTCCAAGTTCGTATGAATTCGTTGTCGAGATTTCTCCAACGAAGTTATACGTTCAGTTTTCATAATACTAATCTGGAGTTCTAGGCTCAAGAACAAACTCTATCTTTACCGACTCAACAATATAATTTTCGAAGGAGTTGCAATTGATTATGGAATCATAAATCATTGTACACTATTTATATCGCGTAACAGTCTTTAATATGAAGGTTTAAGGCTAGCGATACTGAACTCAACGCTAAGAATTTTCAGCTCCTCTGACGTGGTCAATATGGTACAGAGGTAATTGCTAGCTTCCGGCAATTTTGTGGAAACTATCAATCAATAAGGGACAATAAAATCACAGCATTGAATGTAAGATCAATGTCGATACAGTTGAATTGTAAGAGTGCCAAGCTAATTCGCGCCTCGGTTGACGGGTGAAATATATGAATAACGAAGATGTATAAAACCGAGCTTGAGACTTGGGCATGTATAATGAAAGAATTGAAATGCTGAAAGACAGTGGGGTCCAGAATTGTGGAGTAGTAGAATGTAAAAGGCCGTCTTAGCTTGATGGTGCACGACATCAGTCATATTCTTATCGATGCATGTCAGACGAAGCTTTGCCGAATGGAGAAAGGACGAGCTACTTATTAGATACACATGGCGTCTTTTCAACCCCTCATTTTACCCCGCATAGAGAGCTAGCTACTCGGATATCCTACCTAAACTTAGAACATGATATTAAAATACAACCCGATCTTGAACAACTCTTGAGGAACAACACATCTCAATCGAATCTTCCTGAAGCCTCAAAAGTATCCAGAATCAGACAGAGAAGGTTACTGTCCAGGCAACTGATTCCTTACAATCGGTAAAACTATCAATCACCCAAATCAGATCAGAATGTCGACTGAACAACGAGAATCCCTCCCAAATGGTCTTCCAAATCTTCAACGTCTCATAACAACCACCGATCCAAATGGCAAAGCCATCCTCGAGCCCAGCATATCTCCCGAATCTGTCTGGCAGCCGATCCAAAACAACGACATGGCCTTTTTTCTAGCATACACTACCCATCAATTCCCAGCTTCCCTCTCCCATGCCCCCGCATCCCAAAACTTCACATCCACTACACCCATCGACATAGCTTCCTACAAATCAGATCTCTCTTCACCTCCTGGTCTCTCTATATCTACAGGAACCGTCGTTCGCTTCGTGGATTTTGCGCCTGGTTACACATGTCCAATGCATAAAACTGTGAGTTTGGATTATGGGGTTGTGTTGGAGGGAACGATTGAATTGGTGTTGGATTCGGGAGAGAAGAAATTTATGCAGAGGGGTGATGTTTGTGTACAGCGGGCGACAAATCATGCTTGGAGAAATGCTACAGAGGGAGAGGGTTGGGCGAGAATGATGTTTGTGTTGACGGCTGTTGAGAAGGGGGTCGGGATTGAGGAGGCAGGAATAGACGATATGAAGGAGTTGAGGAAGAGCACTTAAATAAAGCAGGTTATGAATGTCTATCCCAGGAGAATCATGGCATTTCATTCTTGCCTGGAGACGAAGATTATTGACGAGAAGGACGAGACTAGCACGACTTACAATACACGGCAAATACAATTGCATGAAACAATCTCAGATGTTGCAGAATTCATGTATTTGTGCTTAAGTCAATGAAGAAACAGCAGTATCGTAAAGACTTGATTTCTCAAGTGACTCGAAAGCCGAAACCGCCTATATTCTTGGTTTCCTAGATCTTGTTCTCATTATCCATACTCCTCCCCCACTCATTTCTTATGCAGCTCTCCTCTCTTTTCCACTAATCAAGTAAACTCCCGCCCTAACATCCACCAAAGGATCACCACTAACATCTATACCCTCTACCCTAGGTACCGGATCAAAAATAACATGTTTCTGCTCTTTCTCATTCTCTGCCAACAAGCCCTCAACCTTAACACGTCCCAATTCCACAACCTTTCTCTCTTCCGGCCAATGCACAGTTGCATCATCCGTCACATCTCCCTCTTCCGCAATCTGTACCTCCAATTTAAATTCCGCCGCTCCCTTTTCCAACCTCGCTACAATCTCTTCTGTCAAATAATTCTCCCCCAAACTCTTTTTCTGCTCCTCACTCGCTATTTCAACACCCTCAACAGGAACAATCCTATACCTCACAAACGTTTCTTTTCCATCAGAAGCAATAAATTTAAAAGCATTAACACCCCAATAATTCTCCCTCGCCCAACTCGTCGGCGCCGGCTTGGGCGCAGTAACAAAAGCCAAAGCCTTAGGATGCGCATCTAGAAATTTCTCAATAGGTTTCGGACTCTCAACGCCTTCTCCACTACTCGCTGCAGCTTTCAAAAATTCGAGAAATTCATCGCCCGTACGGGTTGGGAAAAAGGGGGTGGAGTGGGCAACTATATCTGTGTGTTTGTGCTTCTCGGCATCGAGAATAAAGCGGATGGCGATACCACGAGGGTCAGCATTCGCGTCGAAATCGGGGATCGAGGGGATACCGGTGGAGTTTGAAAAGCGGATCCAGATGGGGGTGGAGGAGGAGGAGAAATGAGGAGCAGAGGAGAGAGTACGTGCGGTGGGGGTGGGATGAAGGTTCCGGTTAGGAGGAGTCCTTTTGCATGGGCTGGAGGAAGAGGTTAGATTGGATTGTGGGATTGATGATAGTGTGACTTACCAGGTCTTTTTCCGGCATGTTTGCCAAACATAGATTGGAGTTGATGGACTAGTCCTTCACTTGTTTTGACTACTGCGGGGTCGGATGGAAGAGGCATGATTGTGATCTAACTTTCTGAGAAAATTATCTGTTTTTCAAAATAATGTTGAGGATGGGTATTGTATGTTTTGCAATTGAGATAAGATTCAAAATTGACCGTCTGGTGGAGATAAAGGATTCCTCTCGCGCTTTATACGTTTGCGTCTGAAGAGAGTGAATACCACGCCGCAAAATCCCAAAATCCTTTCAGGAATGTTGATGCGATAACACAATTCATGACGTTATTTTGATATTGGGATTTGGAATAAGTCCTCATATCCGGGACCCGAATTCTAGCTCCCATTGGATGAGGTTGTACAATTGAGGTTGATTGTTTATCAGTCCGTTGTTAGTGGTTCACTTTTTGTGTACCAGTATCATAACCAACCAATGAGACACCTTTGATGTGCGGTATGTCGATTAGTTAATATAAAGGTGGCGGCTTACTGTATCCAACTGTTGGTATCACATATCATGTCACATCTCGTGTACGCGGGTCCCGGTTACACTCAAGCTCGCAAGAAGGTTGACAAGTGCTTGAATTGATACTGCTAAATATTGGATTACTCATTATATAAGATGAAATTTGGGTAAAAGATTATGAAAATAGTCCATCGTGTTTACTCCCGGGTTCCGAACTTCCAATCACTTCCGTTCGATTATTTAGAGTGTGATTTTGATGGTGGACGCGACACTGGGCACACCTGCAGAAGTCATGGCCCAGAACATCCAGTATCCTGGGAGTGCAATTCCTGCATCATTGGGGATGGTAAATGTGTAAGTGTTTTTGTCACTTGTTGTAACAGGAGTGAGGGAGATACGTCGCTGATCAGTGTTGACAGTGTGGGTTGCTGATCCAAATCGAGTGATTGAGAAGCTGGTTACTGCGATGTCGGTAACGATTGTGATTGTTCCACCAACAGCAACAGTGGAAGTGGCTGAGGAGATGACGGGTCTCGTTGCGGCGGTTCCATCGGCGTTAAAAAGATACGCTGGACTGTATATCTGTGCATCGGCGTGGTTTGTGGCACAGCTGGATCCACATAATCCTCCACCTCCCGTGAAAACTCTCCCGTCGAGCATCAGAAGAGCCATACTGTGGTATGTTCTTGGGATAGCATGAGGAGGTAGGATTGTGAAATTTTGTGTTGTAGGATCCCACAATTCTGGTGTCAATACTGCATCTGTGTCTGTGAACGGAACTGCATATGGTTGACCTCCTGTCACAAATACCTTTCCGTTTGGCAGTACGACACCGTTTGCGAAAGCTCTTTTGTATGTCATTGATGTCAGGGATTGGACTGTAGGATTAACGTTAGGACTTCCGATTGTGATCAGATGGACACTGTTAGTCGCAGCCGAATTCTGATAGCTAGGGGATCCACCGGCCGTGAAGATCTTTCCGGCGACTGCATCATACATGACTGCATTTCCACACATGGAGTCTGGATCGGAAGCGCGAAGTCCTGCAGCGACTTGAGATCCAGTACCAGTCGTTCCGTACCAGTTCATCGCTTTACTTGGACCAGCTTGGAATACAGATCCATTCTTCCAAGCAAACAACCATGCATGGTTATCGGTACGGAAGGCACCTTGTGCATCAGCAGTGAGCATTGGTTTGACTGGGCAGCCTGATAGTAGGGACCATGTGTTGGTGCTTGGATCATAAATTTCTCCATTCTTTCCACCATAACCACCACTCCAAGATCCGCCTATGTTGAAGACCTTTCCTGTTGATGTTGTAGTAGTCGATTGGTAGCCGCGAGGAACTTTCATAACGGGTCCTGCTACCCACTGATCGGTAGCAGAGTCATAAATGCTCGTCTTGTTTGCAGTATCTCCTCCTGTGACAATAGCGCGTCCATCGAACATCAACGACATACCGGGGCAGAACATATCATGCTGCGTATTAGAAACATTCGCTGAAGATATGGTACCGGTCGTAGGATTGTACACTGCTGAAATAGTGTAGCCATGTAGACCTATTTGAAAAGCCAGAGGACTATATGCTGCGTACGTCCAAATGTTTCCTGTGGAATACTCGATGAATCCAGCAACTGGAACAAGCGGCATATTAATCACTGGACCCCATTCTCCTAAGCCCCCAACGGCAGTAGGGGCGACTGAGAAACCAAATTCTGCTGCGCTGGTCCAACTACCACGATTTCCAGCTTCAGTGGTAGCATTCAGTCGAAAATATCGAGTTTGTGTATTTGCAAAGCCTACAGTCTTCTTTGTAGCATCGTCTTGGAAAGTGGAAGTCACAACGGTTGACCAAGTCTCGTTGTCTGTACTGACAGCCAATGAGTAGGCGCCGATGTTTCCGTTGAGTTTACCATCTTGTCTTGGTGTATAGGTAAAGGCATTGAGAACTTGTGCAGAGCCTGTGTCAAGGTATATTATGTGTGGCAAGGGAACAAGAACGGGACTGTATTCGCTATGCCAGAATGTGCTGGAGTTTCCATCAACAGCGTAAGAAGCTGGATTTGTAGCTTGGGAACTCGATACTCCAATGCTCATTGCTGCTTGCACAGTCTGCGCCACTGGCAGCAAGAGGAAAGACCATAGTGCGAGCATGTTGGCGCTCAGAAGGTACAGTGCAATATTTCAGAGGATAAGACCCTATGGACTGTCAGTATAATCTACACTTTATTGTTGGAATTGGGTAAGTGACTTACAATGAAGTTACTCAAGTAAAACAGCCTGATTAGAAATTACATGATCGTCATTCCCGTTCTTTTATAGTAGCACGAAGTGGGGCAGTGTAATAAGCTTACCTCCGCATCTTGAAGGCGATGAGATAGATATCTGGGGCCCCTGCAACGGCGGCGTTGCCCGCATAAGCTTATCGATATGGGTTTTCCAGAACCCCCATTTTTATCCCGTATAAAAATCAATATTTTCAAATTCCCATGTCTGAAGGTAGATACGCGAGTGGTTAATCTATATTTAAGCTCGGAACACGGAATGCTTAGCGCGGCTCCTCATCTATCTCCATGCAAACTTTGATTGAAAAGGAAGCTCTCAGCTTGGGAAACTTGCTTGTAGAAAAAAGCCAATGTGTCATCGCAATACTGTGAGCGAATCACATCGTTGCTTACCCGAACCGTTTACGGCCGTGAGACTCTTGGTTGCCAATAAGATCCTTGATCACATGCTTCTAGGTTGTATTAAACTCGGTGGCATCTTCTTCAATGCTCATTTGTTACACAAATTTCTGGCCATTGGTACAATGTTACAACTGATTGTTATCATGCAGCTGATTACTACCAAATGATGCACTCAGTTTAGTCTTGGCAGGTCCCAGGATTTGGTTATCGGTAGCAGATGTGTCAAATATATGCCAACCCAATGGTTTGACGCCACAATAGCTATTCTTCACCTGCGCCTCCGAATACGATATTGACACATGCATAACATGGGCAGCTTTTCTCAGATGTCCTCCCTTTTCAGGAGATAAATCCGAATCCACTGAGAGCTCTGCTGGCATCAGCTGGCATCAGCTGAAGTCTGACTGGAGAGTGCTGACAACCATAATAAATGTGACGATCCATAGGTTGTCAAGGTGCAAATTCTTACCACGAGGGACTCGTTACAGAAATGATCGACATCGATATCCAGGGAATTTGATTACTGCTTTGGAACTATTGATATATCTATTGAATTGTGCAGAAGCTTGGAGAGAACACCGATTTCTTTTGAATCGTGGTGTCCGACTTCTGAAGAAACGGCAGCAGGCGGTTGTCTTCCGGGAGCCTAGACTGAGGCAGCACGCCCCATTTATCGAACCAATAGGAAAACGATAACAGAACAATTGGTGCTTTATATCATGAGCATGAAAAAATTGCAGACATAACGTCTAGGGTGATCCCGATGATGGGCAGCCAGCTGGTCATGGATCTTGTTCGGCTGCCCCAAAGAAAAGCTTTGCATATTGCCCAGCTGGCGATAAACTTTGACCTGCTGTATTGAGACTCGTCCACATATTTATATTGGAGATCTCACAGTATCCATGATAACACCCAGTCTGCCTCGTTAAGCTTGTGAAGTCCACTTAAACGTAACAATCTGCGAGCGTCATACAAACTTGAGAGCATCACATCTAATCGACGTGCATTGTCTGAATTCCAGCAAGTAACTTTGCAGACATAGCACTGTATCTGCTATTTCAGCAATCATTCATCATTGTTTCAGAGAAGTAGGAGATCCTAGGCTAGAGCTTGGACGTGAATGATTCAGCCTCACATCCGTTGCAATTTCTTGAACCATAAGATTTAGGGAACCCTTTCAGTTCGTGTCCGACAGCGCGATCCAGACACAAATAAAATCGGCATCTGTTTGGTAATGAAGCAATCAGAGACCCATCGAAACAACCACAGGCTGGGGCGGCTACGATTCTGCTTGAAGAACTAGTCGCCAGATCGATACTTATTAGGATACGAGAATAGGTTGAGAGTAGAGAAGTTCCCCTCACTGGTATAATTCCTTTCTTTGAGCCGGCTCAGAAGCGCGGTGAAATCGAGAATAGAAGGCAAGGATATAGAAGTACAGACGGCTGATACTGACGAAGCCGCAGACGTAGATTCAGCAGATGATGTTGTTTTGATTGAGTAAGCAGAAGTTGTGAAGTCGGTACTTGTAGTTACAAGCTCTCAGTTACTCGCGGTAGTAGTGGTGGAAAGAGTTGTGGTTTTCATCCAAGTCAACATCAATGAGCTCGTTTTAAAGCTAGAAGTGTTAACAGTGACCGATACTGATGAAGTTGTGGATATAAATACTTGTGCTGCAAACAGAAATTGCAGGCAAAACGATCTTGAGCCCAAACAGTGCGACGGTCATAATGGTATAGGCTTCATGTTTCTTTATTAATCAACTCGAATTACACCTGAAAGGTGTTCTCGTTGTGTATATTTTCTTCTACAAGTATTTCACTTAAATCACATTTCACTCATAGAACAGCGCTGCTTTGCCTTGCTGTCAACCACTAAGCTGAGAAATGTGACAATCTGGCCTGGCAAGATTCCAAACCTTTCACAGCAAAGAAACAAAGTGGAACAACAATTGATTGCAAAGAGCCTTCTCCTTACAGGTTTGAAAAATGGGCTTGGAACGGTATTTTCCACTGGTCTGATCAAAACTTTTCGTTATGATCTTTCTACAATGGAGCACAATCCAATTGCCATTGAATTTGTGATACTAGATATCTTTTAGGCTTGAACCACTTGTGAGACTCCATAGCAGGTTTGCAATTGATCAACATGATAACGCCACTTGACATAATGCTGCATGAGGCGCTAATGAACCATTATGCCTTAGAGCAAAGAAGGTGTATTAAAAGAGTCGAAGTAGTTTTGAGATTAATTCAGACGAGTATCTTCTTAATATCTGCTATAATTGAGAACAAATTAAATCCGCTATAGAGCTTGGCAGTGAATGGATGGTCTATGGCAATGGCCTTGATTGACCCTTATCAGATCGCGGTGTTGACCTGGCCGCATGTTCAGAGAATCGGAATCTAGACCAAAACGGCCAGATCTGGGCATGCCCCACAACTTATAAATTGGAGAGTTGGCTGCGTTGAGAGCAGCTGTCGAAATTCGGAACATCCAAATCTTTGTTTTGAGCGCGGTCAAGTGTTGAAATCTTGTGGATTGTAAATTTCAGCTGGGAAGGCGAAGAACCTTAACTTCTCAAGGTATCTCAATCGACCCATCCTTTAGGTGACTGTTACCTCAGGGTCTGGGGGAAGGCATGCGCGTGCAATGGGTTCTGGTGATACTACATGCAGTGGTGTAGAAAAGCTAGATATGCACCCGGAGAAGGGAAAATAAACCCACATCACTTTGACTTTCCAACAGTAAAAAGTCTTCAAAGTTTTTAGAATGAATGCCTTGGAAAGTTGATTCAAGTTCCCTCCTGGCATTGAATCCCGCTCATATTTGAAGAGAGCAGCAGTTCCAATAAAGTCAACGTCCACAGAAGTAAAGCTGCCGGACCAGATAACTTCCACTGAACTTTTGGCGTGTGCAACTGTAGAACAAAACGTGAATACCATTCCACTAAGTGGAGTAATTGTCCGCAACTGAGGATGGTCATGATGAGAACTCACCTAGTTCTTTTTAGATGTACACATTTTCGTGAATCAGCCCCAAACATATGAGATTGCACCTCTCTATCCCTCTATCTCTCTCTCTTTTTCCATCCCGCTCGCCCTTTCACTTTTTTTGCCATGATATGTCTCCTCGTCGCAATATCTCCAAGATTAATGATAGAGATCATTTATTAGAAGATGAGAGGCAAGATTGCTAAAAGATTTCTATCACCGAGAGAAAGACGTATTGTGAGTCGTACGTAACAAGTGGAAGAAGTTCGAAATGTGATGTTTGTTTTGTTTCTTTGATAGTCTTGTTCTTTTACCCGGGCTGGGTAAAGTCCGGCCAGTGGTGTTGACACGTTAATAGAATGGATCGTATCCCTGACCGACACCCTAGCATTTTTGTGGTCACAGCATCTGCTAGCCATCTATAAATTGATCTTGGTGACTATATCACCCCAAGATCTTTCTTGTTGCCCAAATACCCATTTATACGTAGGTAAAGCTTCCTTCATGATTACCCAGTTTTACTCGAGGTTTCGATGAGGCAAACGTTTCTTTCACGAAGCAAACGCGATTATAATAATTCATGATGTTTATCGATGATATAGATATTGCCAGAGATGACTGAGAGCCAATGAGCCTGACATGCATCTGATCAGACTGGAAACTCTTCAACACGACATAAATCCGTTCGAGCGTCATGTTATGTGGTGATACTCGATATGGACTGTTGTACGCTGTGAGGTATAAGTTTTGAGATGGTGATCCATTCAAAGCCTCTCAACTTGGTCCTCCGATGGTAATGGAAGGAACAAACGGAAGGCGATGCCTTCTCTAGTTGATATCAGGAAAAAGTATCCAAATCAAAATATAAGCAGACACCTGCCACTATCGATATGCTGTGCAATCACTATCTGTTTGTATTTCAGCTTAAATCTCAATTACAACCTATTTCCAAATGACAGACGTGGATTCTTCTATATAAGGACTCTGCAATTTGAGTCGATCTTCTCACAATTTTCTTCACATTCTTATACCACTCTCTACATATAAGAACAAACAACTTATAGCCATGATTTTAAACCATCTTCACAATCCAGTTGTGACACTGCTCACAGCATCCGTGAGTTGAAACTATCGTTCTTTGGATTTAATTGACTTTACTAACTCACAATAGCTTGTTACCTTCGTAGCTGCCTCTAATCATGCCCTTCAAAACGAACTCACCACCTCGCAAAGTCTTCCGGGCACTTGGGTAGTTCAAGGATGCTACGTGGATGTCGGTCGGACATTGTTCGAAGGAGAATACATTGACAACACAAACATGACAGATGAGTCGTGTATCTCATATTGTGCCTCTAAAAGTCTCAACTATGCTGGGACAGAGTATGCCTCAGAATGCTGTATGTTTCTTATGACTTACAAATTGTTTGATATGCCATAACTAAATTTTCATTCAGATTGTGGCAATAGTCTTGCAGCTGGAGCTGGACGTGCGCTAGCTTCAGACTGTAGTATGAAGTGCCCAGGAAATACTACTGAGTTTTGCGGTAAGTCTTATGTTCTTAATGATTTAATTGTTCCCAAGCCTGTCTATGCAAGACTAACTCGTTGAGTTTGCAGGTGGTCCAAATAGATTGAATCTTTTCTGGAACGGTAAAACTCCACCTCAAACTAACCCTGGGTCTGGACTCTGGACCTTTACCGGATGCTACACGTTAGTTATTTGCCTAATAAGTGACTACTATAAGATCTGACAGATGGCAGAGAAGGTCAAACGGGTCGACTTTTGATACACCAAGTTATAGCTTCTCCCATGACCGTTGATATTTGTACAGCGGCATGTCAAGAAGAGGGCTATTCACTAGCTGGAGTTGAATATGCTGATGAATGCTGTATGTATATGATAGAACCACACCAAATCGTCGACTCTTATGAAAACTCACCATTTCTTAGGGTGTGGAAATCAATTGTCTAACGGGGGAGTTCTCGCACCGGAGGGCGTTAGCGGCTGTTCTACATTGTGCGCAGGCAACTCTTCAGAATTTTGTGGTGGGACCAATCGACTTGATGTATATGACTTTAACAATACCGTTATTGTCACTGCGCCATCTACTACAACCACGACTGGAACAGCACCTTCTTCTATGGATTCCCCATCAATTCAACAAACAGTTGGTGTATATAACTATTTCGGGTGTCAGACTGAAGCTACAAGCGCTCGAGCACTTGCCTCCAAGGCTTCTGATGCTGGAAACATGACACTAGAGTCATGTGAAGCAAGCTGCATTGGTTACACCTATTTTGGAACCGAATATGGACGTGAATGTTAGTCACCCTTCCTAAAATTTAAACAATTTGAACTAACTAAGAACAACAACAGGCTATTGTGGCAGCGCCTTTTCCGCTGGGTCCGTGTCAGCCCCAAATACAGACTGTAACTTTCCTTGTGCGGGAAATAGTTCCGAATTCTGCGGTGCTTCTGGGAGATTGACTGTGTATTTATTAAATAACACTCTAAGCTCTACAGCTCCTCCTTCCACCTCGTCTACAGGTGTGACAGATCTCCCTACTGGATGGGCCTACAGTGGCTGCTGGATTGATGGAGCACAAGGTCGTGTCCTCACGTATCAGCAACCTGACAATCAAAATCTTACTGTCGAATCTTGTGTTGCGGCATGCTCCGGACTAAATTACATTGTCGCAGGCATGGAGTATAGCTCTGAATGTTTTTGTGATAATTTTGTCGGAAATGGAGGTGCTCTCGCAACCTCACCTGCTGACTGTAACATGCCGTGCAGTGGCAATTCAAGTGAAATATGCGGTGCTGGAAATAGATTGTCCGTCTACTCTTTTGGCAATGTACAAACATCTCAACCTGCGACTGTTCAGCAAAGAGATTTGCCTGGTGATTGGAACTATAAAGGTTGCCTCGAGTCAGTTGCCTCTTAAGAGCTATCGGATTTCATGCAGGCTGATAGAGTAAAATTTTAGAGATAATATAGGAGGCATTGGAACGTTCCCCTATCAAATAATCACTTCAAATAATACCGCAACGAATTGTCTTTCGCAGTGTCAAGCATTCGGCTATAATGCAGCTGGCCTCGAGTATGGCTCTCAATGCTGTAAGTCATGATTGCTTTTTCCATATATCACGTACATTGACAGAATCTTCAGTTTGTGGCGACGTGGAGAATATTGTGACGGCTGGAGCATCATTGATTAGTGAATCTAACTGCCAAGTTGTCTGCTCTGGAAATTCCTCTACTATATGCGGCGGAGATAGTCTCTTATCTTATTACTCATGGGATGGACCGGCGCTCTATAATTGGTCATTTCCAGTGGGTCCCAGTGCTGGTGAACACTCATTGCTAATAGGTGGTGTATGCATACCATTGATGACGTCCCAAATGATTACTGGCAAGGTGACATTCGTTGAAAAGTTTGGGACGGGCGAGCCAAACTCGACAGGCGCATATGAGTTGGATCTTTCAGCAATCGATAATTTTACCCTGGCATGGAGACCGATGCATGTTAAAACTGATGTTTTTTGCTCCGCAGGACTTATTCTTCCAGATGTTGCTGGGAGACAGATAGATGTGGGAGGGGTAAGAGCAAATATTTTTCTCAATAGTTCACAATTTGTGGTGGACCCATTGTACACCTTGTATCTGTGTAATATCTCAAGATATCAGCTCAGCTTGTCACACGTTCATGTTCTTCCGCTACTTCTGACACTAATATCATGATGCTGATATTCTTGAGCCTCAGTGGTCCGGCGAATCAACATACGGTGTACGACTTTACTGGCCGGATGGATCCCCAAATGTCTGGGGAACCAATAATTGGCAGGAAAATGTGAACGAGGTGCGCCTTCTCGTTGCTCGGTGGTACCCGACGGCAATAATTATGGTGCGTCTAACCATGCCCAGATTCTGAAGTACCATTTACTAACACTATTACAAGGCAAATGGCTCGATTTTGATCGTTGGTGGCGAGGAAGGATCGAATGCCCCTGCATCTCCAAGCTTAGAGTTACTTCCTCCAACAGGCGCCCCAGTTCTCAATCTAGATTTTCTTGCTCGTACAGACCCCAATAATCTATATCCGTTCCTCGCCGTCGTTCCATCCGGTATTTTTGTTGCATACTACAATGAAGCAAGAATTCTTGATGAAGTCACATTTGAGACTATCAAGACACTGCCTAACATTCCGGGTGCTGTAAATGATCCGAATGGCGGACGGAACTATCCTCTCGAGGGGGCAATGGTTCTGCTACCTCAATTCTACCCTTATACGGATCCAATCGGAATGCTAATTTGTGGCGGTTCCACACCTGGGGGCGGCTTCGCCATCGATAATTGTGTCTCTATGCAACCTGAAGCTGAGAATGCTACTTGGGTGATTGAAAGGATGGTGAGTCTCTTGAATTTCTTTGCCCTACGATCAATTGTGCCGTTTGATGGGTGCAACTTGAAATGCTTGCCAGATGTGATACTAGTCTCCCCTAAATAGGAAGTTGGTTTCACGAACACATGAAGTGCAGCAAGTGTTTTCGACAATCTCGGGCTCAAGATAATTATTGCGGTGATATCGCAGCGATTGACTAACATATTATAGCCATCACGCCGTGTAATGCCATGTTTGGCTTCCCTTCCAGATGGTACAACACTCATCCTGAATGGCGCACATCATGGTTTCGCTGGATTTGGGCTCGGCTCAGACCCCAACTTCAACGCTGTCCTATACGACTCCCGCCTACCCATAAACTCGCGTATGAGTATAATGGCCAATACGTCGGTTGCCCGTCTTTATCATTCCGAAGCAATTCTTCTTCTCGATGGACGAGTGATGGTGTCCGGATCTGATCCACAAGACAATTTTCACCCAGAAGAATATCGAGTTGAAGTTTTCACGCCTCCTTATCTTCTCTCCAGTCTTCCTCGTCCAACTTTTTATATGAATGACACGGATTGGTCCTATTCGCAAATTGTCCCCTTCACCATTACCTCCAACTTTACTTCGACTGCAAACCTCAGTTTTTCCATCCTTGGCTCTGTTGTAAGTACGCATGGTAATTCTATGGGTCAGCGAACACTCTTTCCTCAATTGGCCTGTGGATTTAATAATACTTGTACAATTACTGCGCCTCCAAACGCACATATTTGTCCGCCAGGCTGGTATATGGTTTTTGTCCTCGATGGACCCACTCCGTCTGTTGGTGCATGGGTAAGAATTGGTGGGGATCCAGCACAATTGGGAATTTGGCCCAATGCTCCTGGTTTTGACATTCCGGGTCTTTGATTTTTTGGGGGTAACTTAATGTTCAGTCGAAGAGATTGATTTGTGAGGTTGTGGTATATTTGTTGAAAAACTGGTTGATTTGCTTCATAGGCAGTCATTGCCATCATGAGCGGTCATCTTTGATTTTTGCTGCATTGATTGCATTTATTACATTACTTTGCTTTTTATTTTGACTCAACGCGAAATAGCGGTGTTATAGACTCGTATATTTAATGCTTAACTGAAATGAATTTCTTGGAATCATTGAATCTCTTGAATCGAATTTCGACAATCAAAAGTATTCAGGGTCCGAATGCCCGTTCACGAATCATTTAGCATTTCACGTCCACATTTCTTGCGTTCGGATGAAGTACATGATTGAGATAAAGTTTAGCAAAAGCCGAGCCGGTCAAATTTCGGGTCGCTTAAAGATTGAATTTGGATTGGATTGGCAAGGTATGGATTCATATATTCAGAGCCCAAGACCCTGGATTGAGAAGAAGTCTTCTTCGTCGCGTGCTCGTCGGGAGTGGGACGCCCCGCATTGCGGGGTACGGATAATCCCAGTAGAGTTTTCGGGGGCGGGGAATCTTGGGGTTATGATGATATTGGAATGGAATGCTCCGAGTATATGACGAGTGAAGAGCATTCATGAGTTTGCCTCTCCCTTTTCTTTTACCTTTCGTTTTGTTCTTGTTGATATGTATGTGTGCTTATCTTAGTTTGGCCATCAGCTTCACGATATCTGGTTTGATCCATTGCGTTTAAAGTAGATATTCTTGGTTATTCGCCATTCGTATTTGACGAATCGATTTTTCATCTCATAAAGGGCTCGCAGTCCCGCCATATCCCGGCAAGATGTTTAATCCTATATTCGCTAAGCTGCTTCTTTCGTTACCATTACTCACAATCGGAACTGTCTCAGCGAATGCACCACGAGATGTCAACAATACATCATCTCCAACAGTTAGTGTTTTAAACGGTACATACTATGGTACCTATCTTCCAACATACGATGAAGATGTTTTCCTAGGTATCCCCTTCGCTCAGCCACCCGTCGGGGCGTTCCGTTTCAATCCGCCTCAATCTCTCAATACCACCTGGGATACTCCGCGCAATGCCACGGAGTATTCCCCTGAATGCATCGGCTACAGTTCCGATAACTGGGTGTTAGGAAATATCATCTCAGAAGACTGTTTAACTTTAAACGTTGTGCGTCCTAGTGGTATCTCTCCAGATGCCAATCTGCCCGTAGCAGTCTGGATTCATGGAGGCGGTAATACCGCAGGGGGAGCAATGGATCCACGATACAACCTTTCATTTATTGTTGCACAATCGGTGGAAGCTGAAACTCCAATTATTGCTGTGAGTATTCAATACCGAGTTTCTGGTTGGGGATTCCTATTTGGACAGGAAGTTCTCGATGCAGGAAGTGCAAATATCGGATTCAGAGATCAGAGATTGGCGCTTCATTGGGTGCAAGAGAATATTGGATTTTTCGGTGGCGATAAGAAGAAAGTCACGCTTTGGGGAGAAAGTGCCGGCGCGACAGGTGTCAGTCTGCAGCTTATCGCTTACGGCGGAAGAGATGATGGATTGTTCAGAGGTGCTATTACACAGAGTGGAAGTCCAGTCGCTGCGAAACGTCTGAGTATTGAGGCTTGGCAACCGGTTTATAATAACATTACTATCGCAGCCGGATGCTCGAATGCGAGTGATACGCTTGATTGTCTGCGTACTGTTCCTACAGAACAGCTAAGCGCGATATTCAATAGCTCCGTAACAGCATCCGCAAGCTGGGGTATCCAGATTGACAACGACTTTGTGCAGAAATCTGCTACCGCCCAGCTCCTTGCTGGAGAATTCGTTAAAGTACCTCTCCTCACCGGTAGAAACTTTGACGAGGGAACTCAGTATGCTACGAAGGGCATCAACACAACCGCTCAGTTTTTGAGTATGGTGCAGTCATCAGGTCTCGATAACGCCACGACAAACACAATCGCAGCATTGTATCCCGATATTCCAGCGGTCGGAATCCCAGCCGCGCTGGTGGGTCGCCCATCAGCTAGCGAAGCATCCCTGGGCGTACAATGGAAACGCTCAGCGGCTTACGCAGGAGATTTACAACAACATGCGCCTCGAAGACTCATGACACAATCATGGGCAAAGTACAACGTGAGCAGTTTTTCCTATCGCTGGAACGTGTTGGTGAATGGAGTTAAACTGTCATTCGGTGCTACCCATTTCCAAGAGGTAGCATTTGTTTTCAACAATACCGGAGGTGTAGGGTACGAGACTGTCGTTTCGCAAAATCCGTTTGAGGGTGAACCGGAGACTTTCGATGAGTTGGCTGTTATGATGAGTGGCATGTGGATCAGTTTTATTGTGAACGGTGATCCGAATGCGGGGAAATTGAGCAATGTCTCCTGGCCAAAATATACACTTGATGATCCGAAGAATTTCGTCTTCGATGTTAATGCGACGAATTTGGCGTACGTGGAACCGGATTATTATAGAGCGGCAGAGATTCAGTATATTTCGGATCGTCTTGTTACGGGTTATGGAAGATAAAGTGGGAAGGCATGGGTCCGAATATAAGATTGGCCATTTGCAGCTTTTGCATCGATACTTGGAATATTGGTACTTCGATGCCAGCTTGAGATAGTCAGCTCGAGTGAAGGTTCAAGAAGTTGTGGGATTGGCTCTCTTGATATGACTCTGGTGTAAGATAGTAATTACTTCATGACCTAATGTTATAACAAAAATGTAATGATTTCATAAAGCTGCACAAGATGCTTTCAAAAAGCTGACATCGCTATCTCATTTCCCAATAAGTGACTTGATTGACACAACCGTGTTATAATATCTCTGTCTAATTTTTTGCATTGTCAATCTGCATCCGGACTCGAAGAATGGGGCATCGGGTCTTATCAAATGACTTTTCATTTCTGATCAACAATGTATCCAGTGATCTATCCAGAGGGCTGTACCAGCAATTCAACCAACTCCAAACCTGAGGGAAGTATCTAAGTAGTGATAGTGATGATTGCAACACCATAAGCAGCAACATTAAAAGTCCATCCCCCAGCCGCACTTCCAGTCACAATACTTGTGACGGGCTGCAAGGTAACATTCAACGGATAATTACTTGCAGTTGGGGAGCCCGTGAAGGAAGCCAATTTAGCAGCTGAACTAGCACCTGTTGCGCCAGGAATATCCACAGTCACATTTTGAGTCGCAGTTCCATAATTGGCAATCTTGATGTAGTATGTTCCAGCGGTCGTACTACTCGCAACCCAATACAGGGGACCAAACCCAGTATCAGAAGTAACAGGAAGAATAGTGTCGCCACGATGAACAGAGAACAGCTGTTGAACATAATAACTCGCGCTTCCAGTGAGAGATCCAGGATCGGCATTGAGTCCAGCGAGGTCGGGTGACCATTGGGCCATGTCGAAATGTTCAAATAGAGGAGCGTATGAAGCCATCTTGACGATATCGGAATTGCGTTCCATACCAATCATGTAGACTGCTTCGGAAACCGCGCCTTGAATTGTTGACCAATAGGTAGTAGCGCCACTGTTGTCAGTTGTACTGGCGTATTCGCCAACAAAAATCCCTGGTCCATCGCGAGGCTTGTTGTCAAATTCATTGAAGAGAGAAACAAATCCATTTGGCGAGAGGTAGTGATGGGTATCGGTCCAAACACCAGCTGGAATTGGATTTGGAAGACAAGATGCTTGTGATGTTGAGGCTATGACTGTGATGTTAGGGTACGCCGCATGAATTGCGTTGTATATATCTGTAAATCGAGAGGCGTATGTACCGCAACCTCCGCTTATATTGTCCTCGTTACCAACCTCAATGAAGGGAATATCATATGGTGCAGCGTGGCCGTAAGATTCACGAAGTGCACCCCATGTCGTTGATGTAGATCCGAGAAGGAATTCAAGCTCATCCAGGATATCATCGACATAGGGTGTAAGTGCTGCACCGGATACAACTCCACCTCCAGCGAGGGAAAGACCTGACCAGACGGCTAATACTGGTATCATACCTGCATCTGAGATGAATTGAAGATATTCCATCAATCCTAGAGGGTTGTCAGTTAAGCGATGCTGACTCGACTAAAAGACAAAGTACCTAAAGCATCTGTGTTTGGATAACCCCAATCACCTTGCCTTCCTGGTCGTTTTTCAACCGGACCAATAGTTTCATTCCATTTCCATCTGTTACCTGGCGACGAACCTTCTCTGTTCAATGTTAGCTTATAGAATTACATTTTTTCCATCTGAGCCTTTTGTCTTACATATTGTTTCCGCCTGGAAAGCGGAAGAAAGAGGGCTCGAGTGCCTGGAGAAAGTTGCCCACATCATTTCTGATACCGTTGTAACTGCAAAAAGTCAATATATTTCCACAACCACATGTATTCCTTTTATCATACCGTTGATGAAATGTGACTGGAAAAAGTTGAGGTAGACCAAAGTTCAGCGCACTGCCGGCGACTTTGGCTCCATCAAATGTTAATTTCCAAACATTATTACCATCTGGAGCCTGTGTGGAGTGGTATGTAGTCTCATAGTAAGTGAAAGAAGTGGCCACACTATTGACTGTAATGGTCTTGGTGGCATATACTGTTCCGCTTGCTACACCGACGAGTGATAATGTAACTGATCCGGAGTATGAACCCTTGATCCAGAAGTAGTTGGCATATGTATCGTCATTCACAGGGACACCAAGGTATCCAGCATTCGAAAAGCCAACTTGTCCAGTTGTTCCAGATGGAACGGAAACTTTCAAAGATCTCGGTAGCGCTGAAGTGAGAGGATTGGCAGTGTCAACTGTGAGATTTGTGCCACCAACAGCAGCATAAGCTGTTAATCCTGGACTTGTTCCTTGGAATCCATTGTTTCGCAACAACTGGCCATGTATACCACCATCGCCTATATATTTTAGCTTACTTAATAAAACCTAGTCACTATAGGAGATATACCGGAGTTATTGATGTCCTAGAATTCAGTTAGTTCAAAGTTCTCCACAACGTAGGTAAGATTTTCAAGAGTAGCAAGCAGAAGACCACGAATGAAATTGCCGAAATCTTGGACAAAGCAGAATATACAAAAAGAATTGAATGTTAAACGCGTGTTTGAATCGAGCCTGAGAGTTTCTTGTTGCCAGACTACAGTCCGCGTTATTTGATTGCTTGAATTTGAACAGCTTACCTCAAACATGAGACCGTAAAGAATAGGGCTGGATGCATTGCCACCAGTTGTGGATACTGTAAGAGTAGCAGCATCTACTAAATTAAAGACCAAGAAAGAAGCGACTGCCAGAGCCCTAGACAGACCTTTGAAGCCCATGATAGAGGAATATGTATTTTCCGATGACTGGAGAATTCGACATTTTGTGGAAGGAATATATACATATATATAAAGATGAATCAAGGATCTACTGACTTTTCCCCTCATTTACTGCGATAATTTTTCCGGGCAGTACACCAAGAAAGGTGGGTAAGTTGCAACCTGGCCCTATTTCATTCAAGGGTGTTATTATCCATATGCTTTCGATATCGATCACAAACTCGTCGATGATATATATCCAGATTCTGCGATCCACGGTGTTTATTTCATTCGTAGTGATACTTGGTAGCATCGGAGTGTAGTGTTTATTGGAGCGCAAGAAAGATTTGATCTTCGTCAAAGCTATTGCAATACAACTAGCATTAAATTCGGCAGTAAGCTTGAACTGCCGGGCGAGCAAGTAGATTTGACCCCTCATAGAATAACCAAGATTTGTAAAAAGACAAGATGGGTGTGATGCCAATTTTAGATCGGATCGTTCTGTCTCGAGACCTTGTACCTATAGGAATGCACTTGAATGGCGCGCATACCCCGCCTAATTGCTCAGGCTAATACTTGCCTGCAACAGGGGAGATATTGGTCCAATGTGAATTCAACGTTCTATTAAACATCAGAAGCAGGTGCTCTTGAAAGATACCTGTACCCATACTGTTTTAATTTCCCGCAACTTGAGTAATGAATATTTTGGAAGATTCCTAGCAAATCCCAACAACAATCCTCAAAATTCGTGACTGCACGAACAAGATATACACCGACAGAAGAACGTCGACCTTCAACATTAAAAATAGAAAAATAATTGGGTCCTTGAAAGTTACCCCGCACAGCTGTATGTCGCTGCCAAATTTTGATTGAATGAAATTACTTTATTTGGGGTCAAATCTGCAATCCTAACTTTCTTCGATGAGTCGTCCTGGTTCTTACGAGGAGATTCAAATGTGTTGCGTGCGAGATGACCCGAATGGAACGTGGAGTCCCTCCAGTCGACAACGTGTCTCGGGAATCAGGTATTTCCCGACAACTACGGGGTTTTGAGTTTTGTTCTTCACTCCATCTGGCATCAGCTTCTTGCAATTCCGTGGTTGAAACTTTCGTGAGATGTTTTTCCTTTTCTTCTAACGGCATCAACAACTTGTTCAGACCTTACGTTCAACCGGATTGCAGGTTCTTTCGGTTAGAAGGATGAAACAAATTCTCTGGAGTTATAATTCGCGTTCACAGCGATGCAGTACGATTATTCGAGACATTGGCAACATTTAACATGGCAGCTGGAAGGTTCAGTCCAATTTCAAACTAGATTTCTCAAAGTAGGAACAGAACTTTTGCCAGTGGAAGGATTTGAATGGATCCGGTATAGCACGGCCGCTTTTCCCGCGACAGTCGTGACAGAGCGGGCATACCGGCCGTCGCTCCCTTTGCTTACTCAAGTACCAATCAACTCCGACATATACGGTCCCATCAATTCTCGCAGAAGAATTCGAACAATCAAACTGATCGCATAATTAAGGATTTCATAGTTCTATAGAGTCTGGGTAGATTCCGAAACGTGTCGACAACCAATATCACGTGAGAAGAATACGGAACTGATTGTCATATGAGTGAATCGGCTGGGATGCTTTGCCTCTTGAATTTTGGAGTCCGAAGATGGGGTCGATGTGAAGCGACCTGATTTTTTTGGACTCTCCATACATGATTGGACAGTATCTCACAGCTCAAGGCTGGGCACCTGCACATGGATCCCGTGTATTTCAAATCATCGGAAATCCGTAGTTGATGGCAGGTATATAACAGGTGGTGTTGGTGTTACATGTTTAAATCGCAGTCCATGTTCACTTTCTTTCCTGACTCTTTCATTGGGAACCACATATCATATATTACATATCACGGAAATCAGAAATCGGAAAGAGGATTCTGAACGATGGCTAGCCTGGAACAGAAATTCGAAGCAGCAACCTCAGCTCGAGAGATCCCTGGTGTTGTACTTCTTGCCAGTAATGCCGATGGTAAAAGACTCCTTTCCTTCACATATCTATCGTCTCAAAGGCTCTGAAATACTAACAAGTAGTAGGAACATTCAAATACAAAAAGGCGATTGGCCCTGCAGCCCCAAACTCTCAAATTGAGCTTGACTCGACCTTCACCATGGCATCATGCACAAAGCTAATAACTTCTATCTCTGGTTTGCGATGCGTAGAACAAGGACAGATTGGTCTTGATGATGATTTGTCTTCCATATTGACAGAGTTTAAAGGTATACAAATACTTGAGGGTTTTAAAACCAGAACAGATGGAAAAGAGATTCCTATTCTTAAGCCAGCTCAGAATAAGATAACTTTAAGGTAGGCGCCTTAATTTATAGAGACCCATAAATTCAAAGGCGTTGACGAGAACCGTTCTCAAGGTGTTGACTCCGTTCATGCCCATAAAACCGATATGTTGAAGGATATTACTCTCCCACTTTTGTTTGAGCCCGGAACATCTTGGACTTATGGCTACAGTCTCGAATGGGTATCTCTTCTTGTTACCCGTCTCAATAATGGTCAATCATTGGAAGGTTATGCTCAAACGCACATCTTCAGTCCCCTCAATATCAATGATATAACATTCTACCGCGACCATAACCCACATGTCCAAGCAAAGCTCGTGAAAATGACTTTTCGCAGTGGGTTAGACAATCTCAAACCAATCTTAGCATTTTCAGGCAAAGGCAATGGGAAAGTAGAATGGACTGATGGAAATCTGTACATCATTGAACAAAAAGATTGTTGGGGAGGCCAGGGACTTGCCGGTTCCGCAAGTTCTTATCTCAAAATCCTAACATCCCTTCTGAGCGACGATGAAATTTTACTCAAGAAATCTACCACAACGGAAATTTTCAAACCGCAAATTTCGGAAGAAGCGGTAGAGGGTATACGGGCCAGTTTCGTGTGTGCAGACTTCTTCCAGAGGATGTTTTCTAGTCAAATACCGGAGCGAGAATTGATCCATGGATTGGGCGGATTATTCATAGAAGAAGATATCGGGGGAGGCAAGAAGAAGGGTACCTTGACTTGGAGTGGTATGCCGAATTTGTTGTGGAGTATTGATAAAGAGGCCGGGTTAGCTTGTCTCTATGCTAGCAACGTATTGCCTTTTGGGGATCCAAAGAGTCATGAGATGCAACAAATGTTTGAGAAAGAGATGTATAAGAAATTTGGCGAGTTTCAAAAGACGCTGAAGTGAGGTTGGTAGAGGAGTTGCTTCGGGGACTCGCTTGTTTTTTTCGTTTTCATTTCAAATATCTAGTCGTCACTATCTAATCTACTTCGAAATACTGAATACCTATGTAAAGTGAGCTCATCTTAAAACATGCGTTCGAAAACGACTTTACTATCCAAATGAATTTTGGAGCAATCATTTACGATGCAGCTAGACAAATTCATGCACTAAGTAAGACTTCAACTAAGAGAGTTCCCTCTCAAATCGCCTGCTCTTCTCCATTCCTTAAGATAGTAATTCTCACAAAGCGTCCCCACATCCCAATTTCGCCCCTCAACTACCCCACCAACCACAACCCCAAACTACCTTCCTCAAAGAGTTAGCCCACCCCCGATTCAAATCTGACAGCATAAATCTGCGGCTCCCAAAGCCCATAGCATCATATCTTTGCATACTCCTAACCCAATTACATTCTCATCCTTGCATTCCCAGGTACAGGTACGAAAGGGCGCGCCAAGCGTCTTCATCTAATTTTCCGGTCTTCCTTCTGCATATGTATCTCTTTTTGAAACGACTGGTGGATATTGTTCGCAAGATACGATGTATGGCTAGGAATGTAACAATCGTAGTAAGCTGTAATAATTGCTTCAATATGAGCGAGTCAAGTACCAGAATGTCAAGTGAACGAATATTACGCCCTTTGCAAGTGAACTAGCCATGATCTCGTTATTATTTCCATTGTCATTTCCCCACCGGCGGGTTCTTAAATGCAAGCTTTCACCTACTATCATGTCCTACTTTACCTTTCTCCATCATCTCATTGCGTATCAATATCCCAAAGGCGCCCAATTCCATCAAGATTCGCGGCACTGTATCTGATCTGTACAACGAGCATTCGCCAAAAGTTTCGATGTCATTTCCCCTCGTTTAAGATTACAAGAATCTGTACAAAGCCACTTACAGGTGATGAACGAAGATGATGCATCCAGAGAAGAAAAATGACTTGAACCACGCGATATCAGGGCCTCCAATTGACGACCATATTATCAACCCTTCCAATAACTTTCCAAAGACGTCACCATCCGGGAAAGACATCCTGGACAACAAACGAGACAATAATGACATCGACCCCGAGCAAGCCCAACCAGTAGCACGTGCCGAGATAGAGCCTCCTCCAGACGGTGGTTACGGCTGGATCTACGTACTGTGTGTATTTTTGATCAATGCCCACACGTGGGGAATCAACAGTGTGAGATCTTTTCGCCTCTAAACGATATCTAATCTGCTAATTCGATATTACAATAAATAGTCCTACGGAATATTCCTGGCGCATTACCTAGAAACCAACAAATTTCCCGGAGCGAGCGATTTAGATTTTGCCTTTGTGGGCGGTCTTTCCCTCAGTATGGCTCAATTCATCGCGCCTGTCGCTACAATCACTACGCGAGAATGGGGGACGAGGACCACGTTGACGATAGGAATTTTATTGCAGACGGCAGCATTATTGGGAGCGTCATGGTCGACTGAAATTTGGCAATTATTTTTGAGTCAAGGCTTGTGTTTTGGTTTTGGGATGGGAATGCAATTTAGTGCTACTGTTGGTATTGTTCCTCAGTGGTTTGATCGTCGACGCTCTCTGGCAAATGGTATTGGGACGGCGGGGTCAGGAATTGGGGGACTTATATATTCGTTGGCTTCCAGCGCGCTCATTCAGAGGTGGGGTACTGGCTGGGCTTTTCGAGTTTTGGCTATAGCATCAGCTGCTGCCTGTGGCTTTTCAGCTATCATCATAAAAGATCGAAATAAGGCGATTGGAGCTGTTCAAATTGCCTTTCATACAAGTCTTCTGAAAAGACCAGAGTTTCTACTCACTCTAGCCTGGGGCTGTTTGAGCGTCTTGGGTTATGTGGCTCTTCTTTTTTCGATACCCGCCTACGCAAGCACAGTGGGCCTTACCGTATCCCAAGGGTCGATTCTTGGTGCTATGTTCAATCTTGGAGGAGGCCTGGGCCGACCTGTCATAGGATACGTTAGCGATGATTTCGGACGAATCAACACCGCACTTGTTTGTACATTCTTGGCCGGTCTTTTTTCTCTCGTAGTCTGGATCTTTGCCAAAAGCTTTGGAGTCCTCATCTTCTATGCTTTAATTGGTGGCGCTGTTTCCGCAACCTTTACCACTACCGTTGCACCGGTGGGTGCTGAAGTTGTAGGGCTACGACTCTTACCATCTGCTCTATCTATATTCTGGGTTTCTGTGGTCATACCGAGCACATTTGCAGAGCCAATTGCACTTTGGTTGCGAACTAACAATGGAACCAATTTCCTGCATGCCCAGATATTCACTGGCTTTATGTATATGGGAGCAACCGTTTCCCTTTGGCTTGTGCGAGCATGGAAGATAACAGAGTTGGAAAAGACTGGTATTGATGATGCTGTCCTTTATGAAGCGAAGGTCAGGGACAAAAGTGCCGTACCTCGAGACCCTATGGTGGCCCAGAAAGTGAGCAGTGCTCCTAGTGTGATACACAAGGCAAAGTCTGCGAAAAACTTGTTCAAAATGGTGAAGGTATAGATCTTGGTAGATTGAAGACGTAACTACGGTATAAAATTTGGAGAATGATTTGTTTATATGGAGGTTTGAAAGTTTGCCAAATTAAAATTTGGTGGGTTTCTACTCTCATTGATTACCTCGATCTATTTTGCCCGGGGATATCGAAAGAATCGAAGGTCCTCATACCCTCCACTGTCAACATGCTGAAAGAGAGCAGAAGTGACTGTATCACTGATAGAATGAGAATAGGCCATTAAAAATGATATTGTGCATTTCGAAAACGTATGGTATTGACATTGTACTATTGTCTTTCCTGCAGTTCTAAATACACTTACTTCTGGGCGATTTGACACCCGTGGACGACATGGGAAACCAAGACTGGGCAAGATGTATAAAGTAGGAAAAGGGTGGAAAGCAAATGCTGGTAATGAATTGGGAATTATGACTATGTTTGGGCATGTTGAAAAGCTGACCTATCGGCACTGGCCGGACGAGGGGGCATCTTTAACCAGTGCATTTGCCCTTCGTCATACAATTGCAGCAGGAGCTAGCACTTTTCTTGATATGAAGGAAATAATAAAGACTGTGATCAACCAACCGAGTGTGGGAACAAAATTCACAAACATTTTCGCTCCTGGAATCTCCGAAACTTGTATGTGATTGTATGTTCTACGAGCAAAGAAACTTCCCATCACTCCCGTTTTCCCAAAGGACTGAGCAGCCAACTCAATTCCTCCGCTTTCTCGAAAGTCACAAGCTCTTTCAATCCCTCAGGAGATAGAAAATCATGATCACAATACTCAAACCCGGGAACAACAGTCTCGCTGATCAAAAGTCCATCACTATCTTGACCACCTTCAACATCTGGTAACAAGTAGGATGCCTTGTATTTCCCGCCATCTACAATCCATTGTAACTTTTCGCCAGCAGCAACATTCTGACCAACAATGAATGTCTCGATTCTCTTTTCCGAACCCTCTTCATCGGCGTGTATCAAAACATATCTGCCTCGGCCTTTGTGTAGCGTATGAACCGTTCTCCCCTTATTCCGATGAAAGCCACCTTGCGGACCATGCGGCGTAAGCAGATAGAAAATACTAGTCGATGAATTTCGCACGGTGGGATCGAAGCCAGGTCTTTGGGGAGCAAGATCTGTAGTAGAGGATTTATCGGAGCCGAATGGCGAAGGAATGACGTCTGGGGCACGATCTGTTTCGGCAAAGAAGCCGCCCTCAATATGTGGGAGGAGATTGAGTGCTTTGATGACTTCTTGAATTTGCGGGGATGAGTCGGGTTCCGACGAAGGATAAAAGCTAGGCTTCAAAGGTTGATACGTTGAACCCATCTTGGAAAGATATAAATGCTAGAAGACAAATACTATAATGAATCAGGGACTGAAAATTCTCAAGAAATGACGAAAATTTGAGGAATTGAGGGTTTTTGATCGCCCCTCCCTTTCCCGTAGATTCTTCGATTGGGCATAGTGGACGGTGACACAGGCTCGAGACCAGGTAAGCACTATATCATCAGAGATCGGCGATATTGATAATCGCGTAACAAGTGACAAGATTTCGTTCTTATCTCGGCCCTCGACTCATGAAGCGCCAGTCAGCAAGATTTACCATGATGCTGGCATGAATGCAGAGCCGTTAGATTACTTTCATCCGTTGCATCGCATGTTTGAATTCTGCGGATGAATCTAACCGGAATCAGATGGATGATCAGCGCATATCAATAATGATACTTTTCTCCAGATGGAAATCATAATTTCGGGTCTGGTAATTATTGATTTTCGATATATCTGACTACCCGTTCAGTAGATACGTATGTACTTGAGTACAAGCTAGGTAGGTAGGTAGTAAAGGGCCGTAGTAAGAGTGCAATAGTGGATTGTGAAATTAAATCAGAAAGCTTCCAGCCCTTGAAGGATTGATGAGTGTGACAGGAGTAAGGACTGTCTCTGTATTAAGCTTTTCCATCCTTTCGGAAATCAAATCGAATGATGATTTGTCGACTTTATTACTGCTGCATACCTACCTAGTCGGTACCTTTCCTACTCCGGAGTCTCGAGGGAGTGTACTAGGTAGTGAGGTAGTAGACCAGTTGACATAATACCAATATAAGGCAACAAGGCAACAAGGCACTCCAAAATCCACGGAGTACATGAAAAAGTCCCATGTTAGTTGCAGACCCCCCAGGAGATATTATTAGGAATAATGGATTTCCATATTTCCATATTTCCACTTCTTAACAAACTTATGATTTTCTGACAAATGAGGAACTTCATCCGAAGCTCTGACTTTCGTCCTGCTCTATCTCTCACTCAATCAACTCACTCAACTCACTCACTATTCTGTTTCTCTTCTCCATCTACCATCTGCCTACCCAGTACGAAGTAGTCATTTATTCTCCTTTCTCCAATCTTTCTATCTCTTCTAAAGCTTCTCATACGATACGTTCTCCAATTCTCCATAACTCATCTCATCATCTCATACCTTATTTCCCAACTCTCCACTTCTGCTTCTTTCATCCACTTTAGCAGCCAGCATTGCTTGAAACTAAATAAGAAACACGACCTTGATCAGCCATTTTCCCTCATTTAACGATTTCACGACGGGAGGAAAAAGCAACTTACGAGTTCATGTACATCGAACTGTATATGTCTTTGTATAAAACTGTAATTATACCGAAGAAGTACATTCTCAATTCGTCGAGATAACTTTCCTTGGCCAACCAACTACTTCAATTCAATTCAATTCAATTCAATTCAATTCAATTCTATTCATTTCTCCTTCGACTTTACATCCAATACAATTTTATTAATAATCACTTTCTTACAATCATACCATGTCGGGAATCTTAAGCAAGCGACAGCTTGCGCGGAATGAGCAGGCACTTCAAGAACTTGTGAAATTGCCAGGAAACAATGTTTGCGCAGACTGCCAGGCAAGGAATCCAGGTAAGCATCGAAGATCTGTATCGGCCTGAACATGTATTAATTCAGAGATGTAGGATGGGCAAGTTGGAGTGTAAGTCATCATCGGCCACTGGCGCACGACTCATTGAACGAGGAGTAACTAAGTCCTGACAACCACTGACTCTGGAATAGCTGGGAATATTCTTATGTATGCGGTGCGCGGCCTTACACCGAAAACTGGGAACACATATCACAAAAGTTAAATCATTGAGTATGGATTCATGGTCGAAAGATCAAGTAGATGTGCGTTCGCAAGTATTCTATCTTGGTATATTTCTAATGGATTGATAGCATATGAAGAAGACTGGAAATGTCGCGTCAAATCGAATCTACAATCCTAAAAATACTCGACCTCCGATCCCTATTGATGCCGATGAAGCAGATTCAGCCATGGAACGATTTATACGACAGAAATATGCCAACGGTCCGCCAGCTCAGAGACGGAATAACACTGGTAGTTCGAGCTCAGATGATCATCCTCCACCGCTTCCTCCCAAAAATGGGACCAAATTCGGCTTCAGATCGGCTTCTTCGATTTTCCCCCTATCCTCAAAGGCGAAAAAAGGCAATGCAGATGCGCAGGCAGAATTTGATGATTACAGCCAAGCGCCATCGCCTCCGAGAAAGAATAAGCATTCAAGAATATTCGGAACTTCCCTTGACGCAACGGATGATCTCGAGTCGAAGTTGGCCAAATTGCGAGACATGGGGTTCAGGGACGAGAAGAGAAATACGACCGTGCTAAAAGGCTTGAGTGGAAATTTGGAGAAATCTATTGAGACTCTAGTCCGACTGGGCGAAGGTGGTTCCAGTGCAAGAACGGCATCGTCTATAAATTCTTCTGGGCCGCGAACCCCAGCTAGCCCACCTGGTCTATCATTCGAGCGACCTCAAGCAACCAGTCCCAGTATATCATCGGCCTCGAATAACCCATTTGATAGACTTGATAATCCAGTATTTCCTCAGGTACAGTCTACACAGTCTACTGGTTCAATGGCACAAGGGCAAAATCAGATGATGGAAGGAAATCCTTATCAAAATGTTGCGAGCACAAATCCATTCGGATTAATGCCGTCACAGTCACAACTCAATCTCAACCAGGCCTTTCAAAATATGTCGGTATCTTCGTCACAGCCTCTTTTCCCTCACCACACAGGGGGGCTGCCTGGTTCTCAACCCCTACCAGTGCAACAATTATATCAGCAATCTATGACACCCCCTGTTCCATCCCTACCACAACACCATTATGCTCCAGCCATATACGAAAATCCAGGTCAACAGCCTCAATTACAGCAAATGGATCGAAACAACTTGAATACCAATCCATTCATGCAACAAGCATCACCGCAACCAGTCGTCAATACAAATCTTCAATCGAACCCCTACATGCAACAATCGGTGATGAAACAACCTCTATTCGCAAGTCCAGTCACTCAAACACCACAACAGCAGTATCCTCCCGGGAGCTACAACATGGGCACGCAGAATCCTCCACAACAAATGAATCCTTTCTTTAACCAGGCGAGTGTACAACAACAACAACAGCAACAACAACAACAGCAACAACAGCAACAACAGCAACAACAGCAGCAACAACAACAGCAACTACAACAACAGCAACAACAACAGCAACTACAACAACAGCAACAACAACAAAGGTCGCAATTGCAGTATGGATACCAGCAGCAGCAACAACCGCAATCACAATACCAACAGCCTCCAGTTCAACCCCAGCAAGCTCAGTATGATCAATATCGACAGCAAACTTACCCCTTGATGCCACAGCAGACTGGACGATTAGTTGATAAGCGCAGCATTTTGGATCTTTACAATTATCCTCAATTAGCGCCTACTCAGATCCAGCAACAGCAACAACCAGAACCTATGCAACAACAGGCACCTCAAGTCGTGGAAATGCCCCAGCCCAATGGACAAATGCCGGGCGGCAGTAATAACCCCTTCATGTCCAACGTGGCGGCAGCACCGACCACGGCCAACGGATCTGGTAGACAAATTAGTCGGGAGAGTATGATGATAGATGCTGGGGGTTGGCAAAATGGGAGACATAGTCCAGATGCATGGGGACAAATTAGTGGGAGGCGGTAGATAGAGGAGAAATGTAAATCTTAAAGGGAGAATAAATAATTCTTGGCCTAGGAACAAGTTATCAAGAAACCATGAAATGAAATTTGAACACTGCAGTAAAGACAAATTATTTACCAAGATGGTATACCATGTGTAGTCTTCGTCCTATTGTGATTTCTCCCTGCATGTCAGCAAATACGGTGAAAGCTTGCTAACAAATGAAACCTCTGGATCTCACGTAAAAAGGCTAGGCGGCTCCTCTACCCCGCCTCCAGCCCCGCAAAATGCACACGGCTTCCAGAAACTTGGTTTTCGTGGCTGTCATCCGATTTTTACGGGTTCCTAAACCTCTTTGTTCGATATGCAGAGAAGACAAATGAATAACTTTAGTAATGAC